AAGCGATACCACACAAAAAACACAAAGACACACTTACCATACCGTGGTGGACGGACGATCTCACGAAGATGAAGCGTGAGGTCGTCACCAGGAGGCGCCGAATCAAAAACGCACAGCCGTCGCAGAGGGCTGCTGTAGTGGATCTCTACCTGAAACAAAATAAAAAATATCATGAGGCCATAAAAACAGCACAAGTCGAGAGTTGGAGGGGATTCTGTGAAAAGCAGGAGCGAGAGGGAATGTGGGAGGGCATATATAGGGTAATAGGTAGGACAGGGGCTAGGGAAGAAGACGTAATGTTGGTCGAGGGAGACAAAATACTGGACGCGCAGGGGTCAGCCGATCTACTTGCACGGAGGTTTTATCCTGGAGATAACAAACAGGCGGACACTGAAACACATAAAGAAATAAGGCAGAAAGCAGAAAAGATAAACTGCAGGGAGGATATTGCTGCTGACCCCCCCTTCACGATGTCGGAATTAGAAGCGTCGGTTGAGTCCTTCAACCCAAAGAAAGCCCCAGGTTCGGATGGGTTCACAGCGGACATCTGTGCGAGAGCGATTGGCGGTAACCCTGCATACTTCCTAGCCCTGCTGAATAAGTGCTTGGTGCTGCAGCTTTTTCCTAAAAGATGGAAGGAGGCGACTGTCGTGATCCTCAGGAAGCCAGGCAAGACCTCGTACACAGACCCCAAGTCGTACAGACCAATAGGACTGTTACCGGTTTTGGGGAAGGTGTACGAGAAGATGCTGGTCGCCCGTCTCAGATTTCACCTGTTGCCAAGGATTAGTACTCGCCAGTACGGATTCATGCCCCAGCGCAGTGCCGAGGACGCCCTCTATAATCTAATGAGTCACATCAGAAGCAAACTCCATGAGAAAAAGATGATAGTGCTAATATCCCTGGATATAGAGGGCGCCTTCGACAGCGCTTGGTGGCCGATGATAAGGGTCCGGCTGGCTGAGGAAAAATGCCCGGTAAATCTGAGACGAGTGATCGATAGCTACCTGAGGGACAGGGCAGTCGAAGTAAGGTATGCTGGAGCACGGGCAACGCGTCAAACGGAGATAGGATGTGTGCAGGGTTCGATAGGGGGACCACTATTGTGGAATGTCCTCCTAGACCCCCTATTGAGACAGCTAGAACATCAAGGCGTCTACTGCCAAGCGTTCGCGGACGATGTCGCGCTGGTATTTGATGGGTGGACGGCCCTCGACATTGAAAGTCGTGCAAATGCCGCCCTCGAACATGTTCGGAAGTGGGGTGTCGTTAGCAGGCTGCGATTTGCACCGCACAAAACATGTGCGATGCTAATCACACGCAAGCTGAAATACGACACACCACGTCTGAGCATGGGCGGGGTCGCCATAGGCATGACCGAAAGTGTCAAACTTCTGGGACTTACCATCGACCACCGGTTGACCTTCAACGCCCATATGGCTGCTGTTTGTAAGAAGGCGATAGCCATCTACAAACAGCTGGCCAGGGCGGCAAAGGTGAACTGGGGTCTGCACCCAGAAGTTACGAGGACAATATACACAGCGGTGGTGGAGCCGATAATCATGTATGCGGCAAGCGCGTGGTCGGAATCGGTGACGAAGATAGAGTTCCGGAGGCAGCTGAGCGTGGTGCAGAGGGGCTTCGCCCAAAAAATCTGCAGGGCTTACCGCACGGTGTCACTGAACTCCGCACTGGTGCTGACAGGAATTCTCCCTCTAGACCTTCGTATACGTGAGGCCGCCTCACTGTACGAGGCGAGGAGGGGGAAGGCCGACGGGCTAGTGGGAGACAGGGATGTCGAACGGATGACGCCAGCGGCAGACAAGCCCCATCCGGCCGAGCAGGGGAGGCTGGAGTTCCGGGACCTGGTAGACGAGGAACAATATAAAACAGCGCAACAAGAATGTGAAATAAGAATATTCACCGATGGGAGCAAGATTGAGGGTCGGGTCGGTGCGGCTCTGTCGGTATGGAACAGGGCGACCGAAACAAAGGCCCTCAAGCTTGCTCTCTCGGCACACTGCACCGTCTACCAGGCGGAACTCCTGGCTCTGAGCAGGGCGGTTGGGATAGCATCGGAACATCCTGCCACCACGATCGGCATCCTCAGCGACTCCAGAGCCGCATTGCAAACAGTTGCAAATCCGAAAGCCTCCCACCCCTTAGCGGAAGAATTTAGAACACAGCACACAAAGTGTAAGCAAAAAGGAAAGACAATAAAGATCTACTGGATAAAGGCACATGCGGGGTGGGAAGGAAACGAGAGGGCGGACCATCTCGCCAAGGAAGCGGCCCTGAAGTCGAAGAGGAGGTCAGACTACGACTGGTGTCCGGTCTCATTCGCCAAACGTCTGATCCGGGATCGGACGATAGCCGAATGGGATAGGCGGTACCAGTCTGGCGAGACTGCTTCCGTAACAAAACTCTTCTTCCCGAGCGCGGCCGATGCGTACAGGGTCGTCGGCAAAATCACCGCAGACAAATACATCACCCAGCTGTTCACGGGACACGGCGGATTCCGAGCGTATCTGCACCGTTTTCGGTGCGGCGAGAATCCGTCGTGCCCATGTGACCAGAACACACCCGAAACACTATTACACATTATATCACAATGCCCTCGCTTTGGAAGGAAAAGAATGGATCTGGAAATAGAATTAGGAACGGAAATAAAGTCAGAAAATTTCAAGGAAATTATAAAGAAAAAAGAGCATAGAGAAAAATTTTTAAAGTACGCAAAAGAAGTAATAAACAAGGTATCAAACATAAATAGTGATAAGCAAAGCTGTATCTAGGTGTATAGTGGATATACAGTCATAGATAAGCAATAGATATAAGTAATAAAAAGAATAATAGTAATAGTAAGAATTGTAATAGATAAGTAAGAAATAAAATAGGCTAAAATTCTAGTATGTAAACAAAAGTAAAATAGATAACCCTTAGAAATGTAAATCCCTAATTAAGTTCTCCTCTAGGTTTAAGTGTAGTAAATAAGAAAGTTATGTGTCTAATAAAGAAAATGTAAAAAACCTGGAATTTCACATCCGGGCTTAAGTGTGTTTACTTGGCTGTACCCCCTAGCATAAGACCCATAGCTAGACGACGGCCCACCCTGTTGTAAACAGCGGTGGGGAGGTAGGCCAAGTAGGAAAAAAAAAAAAAAAAAAAAAAAAAAAAAAAAAAAAAAAAAAAAAAAACCTAACCTAACCTAACCTAACCTAACCTAACCTAACCTAACCTAACCTAACCTAACCTAACCTAACCTAACCTAACCTAACCTAACCTAACCTAACCTAACCTAACCTAACCTAACCTAACCTAACCTAACCTAACCTAACCTAACCTAACCTAACCTAACCTAACCTAACCTAACCTAACCTAACCTAACCTAACCTAACCTAACCTAACCTAACCTAACCTAACCTAACCTAACCTAACCTAACCTAACCTAACCTAACCTAACCTAACCTAACCTAACCTAACCTAACCTAACCTAACCTAACCTAACCTAACCTAACCTAACCTAACCTAACCTAACCTAACCTAACCTAACCTAACCTTTTTTTTTTTTTTTTTTTTTTTAACGAGGGGAAAGGTTTCAATACCGAAACGTCCGCCTTTATGAAGGGGAGCGGACGAATACTGTGGGACTGGACGAATCCGACCCACCAAAACCCCTCGGTGTTCCTCCAAAAACCACGAAAGACGCCTTCGTGCGGGTTCGCATTTGCATTCAACCGCACTCCGGCCGCGGGTCTCCAGTGAAGGAGCCGCCGAAGTTGGGCGCGGGGACCACTCCACGCCCACACTCCACGGATCACTCGCCTCCTGGGAACTTCGGATGCCCCTACATCTTCCGCTCCGAGTGTCCAAGTTGGGGCTTCGGGTGAAAATACACCTTCCGCCCCCCACGCAATGGCCGCGATCGCCGCTGCGTTGCGCTAGAAGCGCACCGCAGCCGCGACCGCGTATAGCCTTCCCGCCGGACGGAAGCGGTCCTGAAGGCACCGCTCCGCCCGGTGCCCCGACGGGTCGGGGCGACACACGCATACTTACCTTCGGCGACGTACTCCCTGCGCCGTCAGCAGTCTGCCCACCAAGCCGCACCAAAGCGCAGCCCGGGGATGTCCTCCGCAGATAGGACTCCCGATCTTAACATGTTAAAATCGGGAGCTGCCTACTCGTGAATACTTACCCAGATTCGCGATGCTCCTCCGGGACCGTATCCTCCATAAGCACTACCGCGCCACACGGTTAAACCGTAGGCGCCGGTAGTGTTGCCTCCTCGAGTGTTGCCCAGCGTCCGAAGACGCCTAGCAACGATCCTCCCGCTGTCTTCTCACGCCCCGTCGACTCCGTCGTCTGCGGGCGCTCCTCGCCCGGACGACGTCCTCCTCGTCGACAGCCGCGCCGACCGCCAGAGGTTTTTTATAGAGGTTGTCTCCTCGCAGCCCCGGGCGAACCCAGGGCCCCCGTTCTCACACTGGGCGGACGACCACTGTCATCACACCCAGTGCAAGTTTACGGTATGAAGATACACTCGCAGTCTTCGCCAGAGACAACTCCGTCGTCTACGGGCACTCCTGCCCGCAACTCCGTCCTCCTCATGACTCTGACTCCGACCGCGAGAGGTTTTTTATAGAGGTTGTCTCCTCGCAGCCCCGAGCGAACCCAGGGCCCCCGCTCCCACACTGGGCGGACGACCTCCTGTCATCACACCCAGTACAAGTTTACGGTATGAAGGTACACTCGCAGTCTTGGCCAGAGATAACTCCGTCGTCTACGGGCACTCCTGCCCGCAACTCCGTCCTCCTCATCAACTCTGACGCCGACCGCGAGCGGTTTTTTATAGAGGTTGGCTCCTCGCAGCCCCGGGCGAACCCAGGGCCCCCGCTCTCACACTAGGTGGACGACCTCCTGTCATCAACACCCAGTGCAAGTTTGCGGTGTGAGTCAGTCCGGCTATGCGCAAAGCACCACCGGACCCGACCCGAATGCTTCGCTCACGGCCTGGACGGGTCCCGGTTGGGGTCAGGACCCATTGTCCTAGCCGCTCGCGTCGCCCTCTCGCCGAAATCGGCCTAGGTGGCACGCCACCATAATTGGACGGGCGCCGTTAAACAGCGCCCACCCCCTACTCGCCGGGCTACTGGCCGACATAGTAGCAGTATCCCGAAGGAACGTCTACTATCCCGCCCGGGGCGTACCAGAACCAAACCATTGCTCGGCCACCGTTCCCCGCGGACGTATCCACGAGGATGGGGAAGCCTCCCAATGGCAGGCCCATACTAGGAGGTTGCCCGACCACACGCCCCAACCTAACCTAACCTAACCTAACCTAACCTAACCTAACCTAACCTAACCTAACCTAACCTAACCTAACCTAACCTAACCTAACCTAACCTAACCTAACCTAACCTAACCTAACCTAACCTAACCTAACCTAACCTAACCTAACCTAACCTAACCTAACCTAACCTAACCTAACCTAACCTAACCTAACCTAACCTAACCTAACCTAACCTAACCTAACCTAACCTAACCTAACCTAACCTAACCTAACCTAACCTAACCTAACCTAACCTAACCTAACCTAACCTAACCTAACCTAACCTAACCTAACCTAACCTAACCTAACCTAACCTAACCTAACCTAACCTAACCTAACCTAACCTAACCTAACCTAACCTAACCTAACCTAACCTAACCTAACCTAACCTAACCTAACCTAACCTAACCTAACCTAACCTAACCTAACCTAACCTAACCTAACCTAACCTAACCTAACCTAACCTAACCTAACCGGAGGTTACTAATGTTTTGCCTTGCCTATATCGGTCGTTGAAAGTGAAAATATATCGCCATCTATGTGAAGTAAAGTGGTGCCATCTATTGTACACTAGCGGAAGTTTGTATAAGTACATAGTGCATGTATGTGCAGTAGTGGTTCTGCTACTGGGCGATAGATGACGCTGAGTGGTAATAGTACTCTATCTTCAACGTATCTATATCGGTCGTGGAAAGTGAAAATATATCGCCATCTATGTGAAGTAAAATGGTGCCATCTATTGTACACTAGCGGAAGCTTGTATAAGTACATACATAGTGCATGTATGTGCAGTAGTGGTTCTGCTACTGGGCGACAGATGGCGCTGAGTGGTAATTGTCCTCTAGGACCAAATTTGGTAGTACTATTATATGATACAATTAGGTGATAGATTGTAGTAGTTTATATAATTATTACAAGAATGAGCTAATTTCATTTAGAACTGTATGTATATTGTCATTAAATGTGGTCCTGCCGTAATTAAATGACCCGCGGTACTGTTCGTATGCAAGCCTCCCCACCAAATTCCTTAGTAGCTTCCCACTAACCATCGCGAACGAGATTTGTTGCTCGTTCTAGTTTAACTACACTATCACTTCATTATAATATGATCTTAAATATGCTGAAGTCTAACAGTGGATAGAATAGGGAGAAATAATTCCTTTATTACCATCAAAATAATATAATTATGCTAATCATATAAAGGTGTACAGCATTGAATCGATCGGATTCCTTGGCCGATGACGCTCCCGTGCGGTGTGGATATAGGGCGGTGCCGGCCGCGCGGCGCTCTGCGGTCAGGTTGGCTCGCGTGGCGCCGCCGTCGTCGCAGCCGGCGCCGGACGCGCGCGATGCTGTGCGCGTAGGCGGCGGGGGCGGCGGAGGCGGCGGGGGTGACAGCGGCTCGTCGCCCACGTAGTCCGCCACGTTGTCGCCGTACTCGCCCGCCTTCAAGTATACTCGGGTCGTTCTCGTTGATGCTGCCTACACACCAGCCATTTTCCATGGTGCTAAAGTTACTCATCAGCAGCGGGGCAAACAGGTTACTCGTTCCATGTACATTATATATATTTAATTACAATTTACAATTATTTATTTATTTATACAATTATTATTCAACAATTATTATTAAGACATTCTTTATAATAATAGTTGAATAATAATTGTAATAAACTTTAAATGTCGTTTCTTTGTTTACAGTTGTTGTTATATGTGTGATTCATTATTTCAGTGTTAAATAATTGGGTAATAAGGGTACAGTCTGTTCTCTTCGTGCTACCTAAGCGTAGTCTAATAATCAAAGGTAGTATTTTTTTTTTTTTTTTTCTTAGTGCGATGTTTTTATTTTGTCTCCTAAGGACATAGTGTATTGTTTCCAAATGAGATATTTCGTTTATGTTTATGCATGATAGGGCTACGACCACATAGGATGAGTAATGGCGTTTCCTCTTCTGCTTACCTTAAAGTCGGCACGATTAGGTTCGAATTCAATCGGACGACGTTGAGTGGTCGCAGGCGCGCTGCGCGTGGGCAGTGCGGGCGACGTGCGGCCCGCCGGCGTCGACGCTGCGGACACGTCATGCTGTCTTGTTACGACAGACTGTCTGCGTGCTGTCACGGCGAGGGAGTGTCGCCGCGTGGTCCTCGTCAGCTGTACCGTCGGTTGAGATGGCCCGCCTTCTTTCTCCGCGTCCACGTCCGCGTCGGCGCCACCTTCACCGTCCCGTTCATCGATCAGTCGTCGCTCTTTGCACAACATCGCGCATTCACTGTCCCTGATCGCAAAAGGAAAGAACAGAAATATTCTGAAGATGCTACATGTAATGATCACGAGCTGGGTTTTAGATATTCATTAGGTGACACTGCAGAAACTGGTATAAACATATTATCAATTACCGTCCGTGCGCACCCAATGAGAGAGCGCAATGTAGGAAACGCCGCCAGAGGGCTACGTTCTGCGCGGCGTGGGTGTTCCCACAGTGCCCTCCTTCTCCGCCGCCTGTCTCTCCCTGATTGTCATTCGCCGTCTTCTCGAAGCTGCTCGTCGATAAGCTGAGCACGCCGCACAACTTGCCACCGCAGACTATGCCCGCACCCCAGTCACTCTGTATAGAACATGCTAATCATTCATAAAAAAAAAAAAAAAAACTGGTATTATGGTAGATATATTCATAACCAAATTATGCCTGTAATTGGTAAATAGAACCTGGCATAGCTCGGGTCCAGCGAGACACAGAGCGCGGTCTTCGAGCGCACTCCAGTGAGGTGCGCGCGCCGCACACTCGCGCGGGCCGACCAGCGCCACGTCCGCCACGCGCAGGCGCGCCCTCGACAGTGCGCGCGCCACGTGGCAGGCGGCCGGCGCCGCGCACTCCGCCGCCGCCACCGCCATCAGCACGGGCTGCACGGGCTGCACGGGCTGCACGGGCTGCACGGGCTGCACGGGCTGCACGGGCTGCACGCGCTGCACGAGCGGCCCGACCAGCGGCGCCTCCAGCTCGGCCAGCGCCAGGTCCCCCGCCGCCGCGCCCCACCCGCGCCCGCCGTCACCGACCTCCTGTGACCAGACCAGGATCTGCTCGATTTCAATACGCCCACAAGGAGTGCAGTGGGTGGGAATGTGGGATTAGTACCGCGTCGGAGCCGGCGGGGAGCACGAGCCTCGAGACGCGGCGCGCGGGGCCGCCCCCGGCGCCGGCGGGCCGCGCCCACAGCTCGGCGGCGGGCGGCCGGCCCGGGCCGCGCGCGCACCTCGCGGACGTCACCACCATCCGCCACGACACCAGAGATCCGCTGCACCGCCACCCCGAGGAATGCTCCACCACCACCTGTGACCAGTGATAACTTACGACCGGGAGCTAATCGTCGCATACCATCACAGAGCGACCTCGCCGGGATGTAGCAGTAGGTATCACGACAATACCACAGACATCAATATAGCAGGTGGACGGTTTTATTACACTGGTATGTCATATAAGATGTAAATATAAGAAATTTAGATATATAAAAAAAAAAAAAAATGTTATAAAAGAAAATACAAAATTTATTGGTATTTATATGTGAATTTGGTGATTAATAGTAAAATGAGTAGATAGGCAAGCTGTAGAGTTTTGGTTCGATTACCAAAACTTACCTGGCCCATCTAAATTTTACTTGAATATACTAATATTTATGAGAGGGGCCGCCTTCGCTCACCGTGAACGGCGCGGAATCGTTCTCGTCTTCTAGCAGGTCGTCGCCGCCGAGGGTCGCGGCGACAGGCGCCACGTCGGATTCTGAATACAACACATTACACCACACTACACTCTAGTACGCTACTACGTATCCACTTATGCGAGGAGTTTCATCGTCACTTCTGTACAAGCAGACTTTATATTTATAAATGCCTTTTTGACTCGTGGTATTGCGCCTATATTGCGCCTATATTCCACCTTCTAAGGGGGGTATAGAAATAATAGAAAAATCTTTATTCAAATAAACTCATTACAAACACTTTTAAATAATCATATTTTGATTCTACCACTTATTCGGAATGCAGATTCATCACAAGAAGAATGAGCAAGAAACTTGTGTGTTGCTCGTTTTAATAGATGTTTTTTTTTTTTATATAAATAATTACAGTATAACAAGTAAGAGGAATTCGATAATCAACATAGAAATCGCTACGCACTCATTATTAGTGTAATCAGATAATATTGTCAGTGCTATGGATTTAAAGTATTTCTATAAAAAACATTATTATCGTTAACGAATTCTTCAATTTTATAGTAAGCTTTTTTACAAAGGAACTGTTTTATTTGACATTTAAATCTTTTTTTTTTCTGGGAGATTTATAACCTACTCTGGTATTTTTATTGTAAAACCTTACGCAATTGCCATAAAACGAATTACTAACTTTAGCCAAACGACATTTAGGTAAAATCAATTTGTTATTGTTACGTAAGCTTTTATTGGTGCAATCACTAACTCTTTTGAAACTGTCTTTATTCTTCCTGGCAAAAAAAAATAATAAAAAAACTGGATAAAGGTTAGGACTTCGAACGTTCTCAGAGTGACCATTACATCCACGCGTAGCCCCTACATCATTGGTACTAGACTACTGACTGGTGGCTATACTGGTGAGAAGTAGTTACATCAGGACAGAACTAGGCTGAAATCTATATATTTGTATAAAGAGCAGGGGCGTAGCTATCGCCGTAAATGATTAAATTTATGACGTACTTAGCGGCGGAAAAAAAAAAAAAAACAAAAACACATCGTTCCCTTTCACGATTTCTTTACCCTTCGTAAGGGCCCCCAAACAATATTTTATAGGGAGCCCCGCCAAGGCACGCTACACTTCATATGTCGAGCCCGTGCCGCAGCCGCAGTGCTGCAGCAGTACTGACCGGCGGCTGCGAGCGCGGCGGCCACCAGCGCCAGCAGCGTCAGCAGCGTCAGCAGCGCGGCGCCCGGCGGCGGCCGCGCGCGCCGGCCCGCGCCCCGCGTGCTCGCTGCGTGCATCCTGCTCACTGACGTCTGCACGTCACGTCTTATGTCACGTCAATCTGTTTTGTTACTGATTTGTTCTAAAGAGTTAGAATGACACCTGACGTAGGTCGAATCAGAATTTTCTGAATTGGAAGACGAGCCACACGGAACTCCTCGCTCGTGTCGCGGATGCTACGTCGAATCTCACCTTTGACTATTAGCTATGTATAACTACGCTAATAACATTGAAGCGTCTGATTGTAATTTCATTTATAAGATGCATATGGATGCACCTACATAACTATACATATACACATTTATTATAAAAAAAAAAATGTCTACCTGATCTTCTTAATCTCCGAGACTAGTGGACTTAATCTCCGATTTTCAAATAGTTAATATTATAAACATTAGCTTTAGCTTTTACATTGCTTTTTTTTTAATTTACTCATTATTGGAAAACCAGGGTTAACTACACACACGTTTCATTCATTTATAAAACATACTCGCTATGTCCCGCGGCAGCACCCGTGTAAAATTTATAATCTATGTATGTAGGTATGTGTTAACATTACAATAATTACATTATCAAATTATTTGGTGTTATAGTAAACTAGCGACCCGCCCGGCTTCGCACGGGTGCAATGCTGATGCTAAATATACCTGCTACAGAATGTCGGTATAAACAACGGGTACAGCTTGTTTGTCATTAAACAGTAATTACATGTTTTGTTCAGCGCCGCCGCGCCGCCCGGACGGGCCGCTACCGCCGCTATGTCCATCATCACCACAAGATAAATCAAAATAATGTACTACAGTAGTGTAGTACATTATTTTGATTTTTCTTGTGGGGTCTGGGTGAACCCCACGTTTGCAATGTAAGCGCAAAATGTGTTTATTTACGACATCAGATTAGAAACCTATAAATTGATCAGTGTGTTCCTCTATAATATTATGCATGTATTATATATATAAACCTTCGTCTTGCATCACTCTATCTATTAAAACTGCTCCAAAATCCGTTGCGTAGTTTCAAAGATTTAAGCATACTTTAAGCAGCCTCTGTTTTATACTACTATATGTAGCGATAGTGATGTTATGAATGTGGATATCAAAAGGAAAACGGTCTCGGCATATCGTTTTTTCTACTTCTTTTTTTTTAAATTATAATCTGAAGGTTTTAAAGTCATAGTAGCCCTATTGGTATGTAGAATATTAAAAAAAAAAAAAAGGAATAACATAACTATAATGGTACGGGTACAGTAAGTGGCTTGGATCGTTTACAATGAAACACGTCTATAGGAAATGAATAAATTTATTGAAACTCTTCTATGGGCGCGGGGGGCGGTGCGGGCGGTGCGGGCGGGGCGAGCTCCTCCCGCAGCGCGTGCAGCCGCAGCTGCTTGTCTAGCAGCGCGTCGGCCAGCGCGGCCGCCTCGCCGCCGCACCACTGCGCGCCGCGCACGTACAGCCACTGCGACACGACACCGCACCACTAATGTTACTAACGATTATTATAAATTAGTGTATTCTGTAAACGACGAGGTGTAATCTACATCGAAATGAACCTGTTCACGAGCGGGCGGACAGACCTTGGCGTGTGGCGCGGCGTCGAGCGCGGCGTAGAGCGCGCGGGCGGGCGCGGCGCTGGTGGCGCGCGCCTCCGCCTCGAGCCGCGCGGCGTGCAGCAGGGCGCCGCCCCCGCCCCCGCCGCCGCCCCCCCGCGCCGCCCGCGCCGCCGCCCGCGCCGCGCGCCGCGCCGCCCTCGGGCTCCAGGCGGCCGGCGGCGCGCGCACCAGCGCCGGCAGCAGCGCCGCCAGCGCGCCGCACTCGGAGCCGGGCCGCGCCGCCGCCGCCGCCGCCGCCGCCTCGCCCAGCGCCCACACCGGCGCCTCCTCCGACACTGCGACACGCAACCCGACTCGTTGCCGCACAAATGGGACTTCACCGAATTAGACATCGTACAAATAAAATCGTTTACATAGGTGTTTCTCATTTATTTCTACCGCTAAACGACCTCCTTTTTAAACAATATTGTTGATGATGAGATCGATGAAGATGAAATGAAAGAAGATAAAAAAAGATAATGATGAGGTCTGTGATGATGATGATAATAATGTCAATGATTTAAATTATGGTGATGACGATGATGGTATAAATATGACGATGGTGATAATTTTAATGACGACAATGTTCATGTCTTAAATTATTAGAGACACATAAAGCGTTAATCATAGTCATCAGCAACATCGTCGTCATCATCACCACCACCACTGCAATAGACCACATCATCGAGACCAGCAATACCATTATTATATCACTCTATCTCTCATACTTTGACATTCTGGAAAACTAAGATGTCATGTCACTTATGAATAACAACTTATACATATAACAAGAAGCTCGGGGACAAAGTCTACTTCGGTCAATAATTATAAAGTTCGATTATGATCAACCGGTGGCTAACGAACTTTTCGATTTCGATTGTAATCATCAATGTAACCTCGGCGGTACTCACTGAGCGCGAGCAGCGCGCAGTGCGGGTGTCGGGGAGCGAGCGCGCGCGCCGCCCGCCCCGCGCCCCCGGCCCCGCCCCCGCCCCCGCCCCCGCCCCCGCCCGCCGCCAGCGACACCGCGCACGCACTCTGCTCGTAGTACCGCTCGCCCGCCGCGGACTGCACGCACACAACATATTGTAATATACTGATGCAAATCAGCACGTTCGACACCAGATAGTGCCAGAGTACGTTTTACCAAACGACACGAGAGTCCTGAAGTTGTTAATATATATAGTGTTAGTAATTAGTCTGAGCTAGAGTAAATCAAGATGTAACAGTTTATATAAAAGTTCCACCCTACTGTTTACTCTCACCACCGCTCCGGCCATCACAGTATAGAATAGGAAGTGAGCGCACGTGTACGCGCGACACCGGCGCGGCGGCGCCAGCAGCGCGCGTGACACCGACCTGGTAGCGGCGCGCGGGCAGCGCCAGCAGGGCGGCGCGCAGGTCCCGCAGGCGGGCGGGCGGCGCCAGCAGCGCGCGTGACACCGACCTGGTAGCGCGCGCGGGCAGCGCCAGCAGGGCGGCGCGCAGGTCCCGCAGGCGGGCGGGCGGCGCCAGCAGCGCGCGTGACACCGACCTGGTAGCGGCGCGCGGGCAGCGCCAGCAGGGCGGCGCGCAGGTCCCGCAGGCGGGCGGGCGGCGCCAGCAGCGCGCGTGACACCGACCTGGTAGCGGCGCGCGGGCAGCGCCAGCAGGGCGGCGCGCAGGTCCCGCAGGCGGGCGGGCGGCGCCAGCAGCGCGCGTGACACCGACCTGGTAGCGGCGCGCGGGCAGCGCCAGCAGGGCGGCGCGCAGGTCCCGCAGGCGGGCGGGCGGCGCCAGCAGCGCGCGTGACACCGACCTGGTAGCGGCGCGCGGGCAGCGCCAGCAGGGCGGCGCGCAGGTCCCGCAGGCGGGCGGGCGGCGCCAGCAGCGCGCGCGACCTGGTAGCGGCGCGCGGGCAGCGCCAGCAGGGCGGCGCGCAGGTCCCGCAGGCGGGCGGGCGGCGCCAGCAGCGCGCGCGCCGCCGCCCACTCCCCGGCGGCCGGCAGCAGCGCCGCGCACACGCCGCCGCCCGCGACGCACTCCTCCTCCTCGTCCTCGGCGGCGGCCAGCGCCGCCTCTATCTCCTCGCACCGACTCTCGCACTGAAACGCACATCGCGGCACACGCCGCCCGTCTTTAACGGACGCGTATTGAGGTTCACCATCGATTACATATGAGTATCTTGAGAGATTTTGGACCTTATATTTTTCGATGAGTTTCCGACAGAATGTATGAGTCGTGATGTTTACATTGTATATATCAAAGAGATAGAATTGCGCGTTTACTCTTGTATAGATATTACTGTTATAAAAATGTATAAACAATGATTATTATTGAAATGAAATGGTATTCATTCGGTAGATATTTAAATAAACGACACTCACGATTACAATGAACTTAATAAATTTAACTTGAACTGAATTTATACAATATAACACACACAAAAAAAAACAAAAATTGAAAACATTGCGTCAACTACAAAAACTTATTACTTATGTAACTTATATTATTGGGTGGGTGAGTCATATCCACATATATTACTTGTTGTAGCGCGGCGTCGATTAGTGCGGGCGGTGGCGCGGCCTCCAGCTCGTCGTCGGGCGGCAGAGCACGTGCCAGCACCGCGCTGGTGAGGGCCCAGCGCGCCGCCGCCGCCGGCAGCAGCTCGGCGGCCACGCGCGCCACGTGGAGGCGGCGCGGCGCGGGCGCGGCGTGGTCGCGCAGGGCGGCGCGCAGCGCGTGCAGGGCGGCGGCGCGCGCGGCGGCCGGCCCGCCCGAAAGCAGCTCGAGGCGCGCGAACTGCGCGAAGGGCAGCGGCGCGGCGCCGGCGTGGCGCCGCAGCGCGCCGCGCGCCTCGCCCCGCAGCCGCCGCAGCTCGGCGCGGCCGGCGTCGTTGTCGGGGTCGGCCAGCAGCGCCAGCGCGTGCAGCCAGCGCAGCCGCCAGCACACCAGCGCCAGGCGCTCGTCGCCCGCGGTCCACGAACACGCCGCCTCCCACAGCGCGTTCACCCAGCTCAGGAACCCTGCCGACGTGCGCCGTGCTTTCCGTTCACGTTATGACAATATTCAATACAATTACCGGGTAACTCGCTCATCGTGTGGACTCCGTTGTGCAGGAATATTCGTTGCACAGAGTAGAATCTCTATATATAGTATTATTTTTTTTATTTTCATATTATAGCAAGAGAGAACGGTTCAAATTTAATATAGTGACAATATTATATCTATTTTTGTAGTCAATTTTGGTCTTTTACTAAAAGTGAATCCTATAAACTATTTAAGTAACCAAATAATCAAACCTTTTATCAAATAAATAAAACAACTCCTTACCACATCCGAGTTTAGGCCCCATTTATTTGCAAAAAGATGTCATCCGGTGCCTATATACATACACAGCGTTAGTCGCAAAAGGTATATTAAATGGCAAGGAAATGAAAGTACTCATAGTGAATAGTGTCGATCTACATCTACAATTATCCCTTAATCCATAGAAATGTTTCGATATTGCAAGGTTAAGAACTCTATTGAACGCACCCATAAAACTGACCGCGTCATTAATAAATGTTCATAACAAGAATCGTAATGAGAGTACCGGAGCGATCTGAGAAGTAGTGGGGCGGGTCGAGGAGCGCGTGCAGGGCGGCGGCGGCGGCGGCGGGCGGCGCGCGGGCGGCGGCGGCGGGCGGCAGGCGGCGCGCCGCGCGCAGCAGCGGCAGCAGCGCCTCCGCGCCGTCCGCCGCCGCCGCGCCCGCCGCGCGCACCGCGCCGCCCGTCGCCGGCAGCAGCGGCACGCGCGCCAGCCGCAGCGCCTGCACCAGCAGCGCCAGCCCGCCCGCCGGCCGCAGCAGCGGCGCCACGTCGGCGGCCAGCGGCGCGCGCTGCGGGTCGGCCGCCACGTCGTCGCCGGCCGCCGCGGGCCGCCAGTGCGCCTCGGCGCGCGCGCGCTCCACGCGCACCCACACCGTGCTCAGCGGCAGCCCGCTCGCCACCGCCTGCAACACCACCATGCGTACCACCGGTCACTGTCCTCCACCTCGTACTGATTCATACACATAAATCACTGTCGTCGCCGATCGTTCTGACGAACCTCGTCCTCGTATCGGCGCAGCCGCAATTCAAGTTCGGCCTCGCGCGCCGGATCGGGCCGCGGCGGAAAAGCATCCGACGGTGGAAAACTCATTGCCAGCACGAGCTCCAGCAGCAGCACTAGCTGCTCCCACAGCCCGGCGGATTGCAGAAATGAACCTACGCAAATGCAACATGTCATTGGATAGTAAAGAGCCCACTAGCTGGAGGAGAGACATAGAAAAGGAAGATATAGGAACTCTCACCGTAGGCGAACAGCAGGCGCGGGTAGGCGGCGCGCGCACAGTCGGCGAGCGCGGCGGCGGCGGCGGCGGCGGGCGCGCGCGCATCGGCGCCGGTCGCGGCCGCCGCCGCCGCCACCAGCAGCGCCCACAGCTCCGCACGGACTGACTCCGACCGCTCTGCGATAAGAAATAATCGACATATCAAAACAACATCATCATCGACATCACAATCACTACCATCATCGTAGTTGTTGGCGGCCCGCAGTGCGGCCACGTAGTCCGCGGCGGGCAGGTGCAGCCGCGCGAGCCGCCAGGGCGCCGCCGCGAGTGTGAGCGCGCGCTAATGTAGAGTGTCGCACGTGGTGGGTGCGGGTGGTACCTGCGTGCGCGGCGGCCCGCAGCGCGGCCACGTAGTCCGCGGCGGGCAGGTGCAGCCGCGCGAGCCGCCAGCGCGCCGCCGCGAGTGTGAGCGCGCGCTAATGTAGAGTGTCGCACGTGGTGGGTGCGGGTGGTACCTGCGTGCGCGGCGGCCCGCAGCGAGGCCACGTAGTCCGCGGCGGGCAGGTGCAGCCGCGCGAGCCGCCAGCGCGCCGCCGCGAGTGCGCGCGCGCGCGGCCGCCGTTCCGCCGCCTCGGTGGCCGCCGCCAGCGCAGCCGCGCCGCCGCGCCACTGCTCCTGCACACGCACACATTTCGCGACACGGATGCCTCTCGGCTAGTCGACCATCTGAACCGGCGCTGAATTAGCCTAGTAGCGAGCCGTCCGAACACAATCGATGTTACAATTTATCGTTCATCCCCACGTTTAATTTTTTTATACAGTGTATAGAACGAAAGAGCTCTAGCCAGACCTGACGGTGAGTGAGTACGGTCGCTGAGGAATTTCAGGTGATCACTAGTGAAATACGTGATGATTTACTCCCTCGCAATTTGGTCTCACATGATCGTGTGACGTGTCGTCCTTTAATCATACGAGGAGACAATTCTAGTTACCTGGAAATCTATGAAGCGCAACCATAGGTCTTCATCGTGGGGCGTGTCGGTCAGCATGGCCTTGAAGGTGGCGACGCGCGCGCTCACTTCGGCCTCGTGGTCGTGGTGGTGGTGGTGGTGGTGGTGGTCGGGCGGCGCGTGGAAGTAGCGGCGGCCACGGAGGCGCGCGGGCCGCGGCGCCGCCGGCACGGTGTACCTGCGGCCGCGGTCACATGCACTCTCATCCAACACGACATCTCACTGGAGGAATAGTTACTATGCAGATTTGTGCCAAGCCTCTTTGAACGCAAAGTAATACCGATCCACCGTTCGCCTTCAGAGAGCGCCATAGCACAGTAGAAGCCCAGAGCCCACAGAGTATGTGCGCCTTAAGAAAGTCTCTCGGACAAAGATAATACTGTTCGCCTGCTTTCTTGGATATCCAGCAGACTTTTGACAAGGTCTGGCATAAAGGCTTGCTATGTAAGATCGAGCAGAGTATTTCCCATTCATACTTCTCAATATTAAAATCTTACCTCAAAGATTATATATCTTATGTGAAAGAAGGTGACCCCACTTCTATTTTTAAAGAAATTTATGCTGGAGTACCACAAGGACCTATACTTGGCCCACCCAAGGACCTGTGCTCCTCACTTTGTATACTGCTGATCTACCACTTACACTTGGGAAAATCACAACTATATCCATGTATCCATGTACATAGCAACACTGAAGCATTACTCATACCATTCTACTTAACCATATAGTGGGTCAGCAGTAGGTGATCTAAAGTATAATGAAGGATATACCTTTAAATAAATTCAAAACATCTGTTAAATCATATTTATTTTCGATCGATCATTTGCCTGGCGGTGTGCGACGAAGCATTGTCGTGGTGAACGACGATCCTACTGCGAGGTCGTTTCTCACGCACTTTTTTCAAAACACGTGGCAAACAATTGTTACTGTACCACTCTGCAGTAACTGTTTTTCGATCCTCTAAAACAATTGTTGCGTAATGACCTGTTCTTCCAAAGAACGAGGCCACCATCTTTTTTCCTATGTTTCGACCTCTCTTCACTTTAGTTGGCAACTCCTCAGAAGGAAACACCCACTGAGCTGACTGTCTTTTAGTTTCGGGATCATAACAGTAAATCCAGCTTTCGTCTCCCATAACTACGTTAAACACAGAATTTGAGTCACCTCCGTTAAATCTTTCATGCATTTCACGGCACCAATCAACCCGACGGAGTTTTTGAGCCTCAGTGAACCGGGCACAAGGCTTCCTGACCGCCAAATGTTCATGGAGGATTTTGTGCACTTGACTCATACCAATCTTTAAGCTTGCCCGGATCTGCTAATAGGTCACTCTTTTGTCAGTCTCTATCATACGCCGCACAACACGGATGTTATCTTCGGTTGTCGCCGTAGAAGGCCCTCATGCAAATCATCGATGAGATTAGTGCGACCACGTTTAAACTCATTAAACCAGTTGTAAACAGTGGCACGAGACGGGGCTTCATCGTGGAAGTCCAATAGTAGTCTATCATAACTTTCTTGTTGACTTAGATGACATCGAAAGTCATAAAAAATCATCACACGAAAATTTTCTCGTGTTAAGTTCATGATAACGTTACACAGACTATTTTCAATTTGCCGCCAAACCGTAAAACACATGACATACGAATAAATTATATACTCAGTACTATTCGTAAAGAGTTCCATTTTCAAAATTTTAACAATTTTTTTTATTATATTGCTCTCAAGTAGCCAGTTCTAAAAACTTTCAGTGTAGCCCTCGTATGCTGAATAGAGAATTAGCTATATTGCTAATTCCATAAGATAGCGCCGCATTCTTGAGTGTGTGTCAAATTCTTGACACAATAAAATATTGTTATAGTGCTCAAGTTTCGTCTGGCTGTGACGTAACTTCATTAAAATGATACCATAATCTGTATGATTGTCTGTTCTCTAAATACTTTATATATTTTTCTTGATATATCAAGTATTTATATATTTATTTATAGAATTATCTATTCCGATATCCATATCCAAAGAAACAATGAGTTTCCAATAATCTTGAATTAGTTTCATAAGTTGTTGAAGTACGAAACATTATTTAAAGCCGTAATGTTATATGAGGTTTGATGCAATTGTTGCGTTGAACACTGTCAATGACTGACCATTGCTTGTCTACATGCTCTGACCGGCCGGCGATGACGAAATTTTACTTCAGTAACGTCATTTGAGACGTCGTAATTCTGTATAATATTAGAGTAAACGTCAGCCCCTAATAACAAGTCGACTTGACGACTGATATAGAATTCCGGATCAGCCAATTGTATGTCTTCTAATTGTGACCACGACGGTTTTGAAAATGATTTATTCGGCAGATTGTTAATTAAATTTCTCATGATATATACATTCGTGGTAAATATGTAGTCACTATATAATGATGTACATGATATATTTAACATCCCTTTACAATTGTTTTCTTTGGCGCCTAACCCAAATATAACACCCTTACAGTGCTTTCGAGGTAATTTTAATAGTTGTACTGCATTTTCTGTGTTTATCCCTGATCAATGAGAGCTCGTAGTAATATTTGCGATCCATCTAGTGCTTGTACTTTTATTAGTGCTGTTGCTAAGTGTCTCTGATAAATCCTCTAATGATATATGATTGCTTTTTGTACTGCTGCCAGGTGGTTTCATGTTGACCCGTGGTGACAATGAGTTTGATGAACTCAGTGTCAAATTCGTAAATGCGTCATGCGATAAAGTGTTGTGATCAGAATTGCATTCGCGGCATTTTTTGTCTGATATGCACTCGTTATCATTTTATCGTTTGCTTGTAATTGTAAAAATGCTTTGCAGTTAATAGGCAATGTTAATTTTGGCAAATTGGTCAATTTTTTGTTGTAATGTTACTCGATATGTACATTTTATATGAATTTAAGTTATTGGCAGTTTTACCCTTGAAATCTTGATTTGTATTGAATGATTTATTTGATTGATATTTTTTCTGGATTGTCATAGAATGATGATCCAAATCTTGGTTGCTTGTTCTAGAGACATCTTGCTTGCGGCGTGATGATTCTAATGATGTAAATTTGTTCTCGAGATACTGGAGAAACTCAGTCAGTCTAGGTAATTCTCGTGGACTCTTGAGTGATTTTGTATAGTCGCTATACATATCTGTATCTAATTTTTGTGATAACAGATGAACGAGTATAGGATCCCATGTTGTTGTGTCTATACCAAGGTTCTTAATGGCATTAATACATTCAAGAGTGGTATCGTGTAGTCTTTTAATATGTATCACAGATTGATTCTGCATACTTGATATGTTCAGTAGGGTATTTAAATGAGTGGTGAAAATAAGTTTCTTGTTGTTATACCAGTGATTTTGTATTTCCCAACAAACGGAGTAGTTATCACTACTGATTTAGCCCAAGAACCCACGACTGCCAGACATGCGTCATTTTAGTAAACGTGAAAGTTCTTGTATGTGTGTCCCCAACACAGGTAAGAATGATCCCCAAACATGAAACCTAGATCGTGGTTCCTTTGGCAGGTACCAGGAAACAATGGTGTAAAAAAAATCATATCTTTCTTGGTTCCTTATCCTACCAGACTCATTGAAACCGTATATTGGGTAACAACGGTGTATACAATTTCATATCAAATTCGTTATTTTAAGATGCTCCATTTTTTCACATATTGCTCGTAACTCTTGCTCTAATTGTTAAATGCTGCACTAGTTTTTCTGCTTCGCCTCTGATTTTGCTTTTCAGAAACTGCATCTTCTGGGCGCTTGATAGAGTGGGATTGTTACGAATTGTTTCAGTAAACAGATCCTTAAATGATGTCCATGCTTGATAGCTACCTCTGAAGGTAGGTATGTCCATTTGAGGAGTGGACTTCTCCTTGTGTTGAACAGACCACAATTTAGAGTTTATATCTCTTTTTAGACTCTCATACTGCTTTTCATATCTTATGAAAGTCAGTTCATATTCTGTGTTCTCGCCATTGAGCTCACTATCGATTTCCCAATGTAAATCGATAATATTCCAACGCAACGACAGTGTCCTTAGAACGTCTTCGAATTCCCACTTCTCTTTGATATTGTCTAAATCTATGCTCGATGCTGATCGATAAAACGCTTTGAAGTTGCTGCTTTGCTTACATAATAGTTCGTCAATTACTACTTAGTGTTCCTTTCTTCATTTGATAGTGAGTTTCTGATGAACCCTGCATGGTAAATAATTGACTGATTTGTTTTGATATTGATAATGCCTGATATTCTTAATATGCTTGATAATGGTGATAAATGTTCTTGATAATGATGCCGCTCTTGATGAGATACGCTAGTTCTCTTCTTGATAATGATGAACATTGTTTTCTTGATAATAATAATGTTCTTAATATGATATGGTGATTACTTTCTTGATGTGCTAGATAAATTGATAATAATACTCCTTCTTGATAGGATATGCTTGATAATGACAAAGTTCTTGATATGATATGCTTGTTAATGATCCTCCTTCTTGTTAAGATATGCTTGATAATGATAGATATAATTCTTGATGTGATATGCTGATTCTGTGTAGTGTCTTTGCGAACCTTAGCACGATATATACGCCTTCTCAATCTGATCGGTGAGACCCGCTTCTGGGAAGCCAACCAGAATGATTCACTATCGTACCAAAATTCCACAAAAATACTGTTTTTCCACTCGAAGGACCACAAAGATGTATGAGTCTGCTTGGACCCACACAGTCTAGATGCTATGATGTATAAATGATAAGTCGGCTGCTTTCCAACTTGATATATTGAGTACACGATGATTGAGTGTGGACTGATGCTTGTTTGTGAGGATTTGGTGTACTGAAGGGAAAATGGTAGGTGTGGGTGTTATATGGATGCGGAGTGGTGTAAAATGCTGACGGCTGTACGGTGACGCACCATACAAGGGGATTCAGAGATTTTCATTTAATGCTAGACGTAGACGCCTACATAAGTATTCAATGTAAATAAACTGGCTCCGACTGGCTGGTCCGGTCATTTCAATTTCTGAATTAGATGAACTTTTATTATTTTTTCTTGTAGCAGCCTTTTTTTCACCTTTCTTATATAGGGTTGGCAACTTGCCGATTTCAAGTAAGAATGAAAATTCACAAAACTGGCTTTTAAAAAAAAATTAAATTCATTTGAGTTTACTGCCAGTTCTTCTCAATTAAATCTGAATACTCAACTGGGTGGTAGAAAAAAATTATTAATACAGAAAATTTAAGTTCATAAGCAGCTGTAATGTCCTACATTAATAAATTATTTTTTATTTAATTTGATTTAACATTAACCCAGTAAGTAATAGGCCAAATTACTAGCAGTGATGCTACAATATCTATTAGATGTAGCTCATTGTGCAGACTCTATTACTAGCCTATTGTATCAAACTAACACTAGTTTGCTGAAAAATAAAATATACTCTTTTCAACTACAGGCATGTTTTCCTGCATGATATAATATATGGTCACTTACTGAGGTCTTCCTGGATAATATAGTGTAGACACATGCAAATTGCCACGATCCAGTTTTGTGTCTACATAGAAATCAGAGCACTGTGGTGTTGGAGGTGGTGACCGGGCACGCTCCACTGCAGCCTTCCCACTGTCCTCATCATCACTTGCCAGTAAGTATGTTTCTCTTGAATCCGTTGCATCTTGTTGCCAATCTACTGTTTTAAATACGTCGAATTATTATAACTTTAATAAAAATAAATTAACACATATGTCTAAATTTCTTGGTAAGCAATATACCCCAGCCGGATGCACGCATGTGGATGCATGTGGTAAAGTTGCCACAAGCATCCACATGCAGCCACTGCTCAAAATTTTAGGTAGCTAGTTCCAATTTATCAGTAGAATCAGGCTTAGAAATATGTAAAAATATATTTCTTTAGTTGAATGGGCTATAAAGGAATGGACAAGAATTAAAGGAGAAAAGGCAAGGGGATACAAGGAAGAAATACGGAGGATAAAGTTGGCAAGTTTGAGTGATTGAAAGCTAATACATGCCATTTTATAGTGATTTAAATTGTGTGTGCTAGGAAATAATAAAAATATTTATTTAATATCACCCAAACCTTGACTCTCCTTAGCAAATGTCACTGTAATATCCTCAAATTCACAGGCATCTTGTTTATTCGCATATGCAGGGAATAGAGACATGTTTCTAATAAATTTATTTTATTTCATGAGCACTTCAAAATAGTGGTTCCATTTCAGTAAAAAAATACGTTTGTTATGACAATCACAGGTGACAACATAGAGAGTAAGGTTCACAGATTACATCATAACTACCACAGAGTAGACATAGCCAGTATAACTATGATTTAGGCCCTATTCACACGACACTGTTACATGTCTTTATTTTAATACTACGTAGATGGCAAACAAGCATACGGTTCATCTAATCGTAAATGGTTACCGTAGCCTATTGACGCCTGAAACCCCAGATGTGTCATGTTAAAGTAGTGTGCCACGGTTAAATGGGGATGCGTTTTGTCATTAATCATTCATGAAGACAATATTATTCAGTGTGTATGTGCCATACACATGCCATATTATGACATAATAATTATATAAATACGGATATTTTTCCACCTTTTGCATGCAATTGCAATATGTACTAAATACTTGGAATAAACTAGCAATAAATAGTTTTTTTTTTATTATTATTAAACTGAGTTATCCGTAGACAATTCATTAAACAAAACTTGGTTGGGAGCTTTGTATCAGTTTGTTGACAGAAGAGTTTGACAATTGATTGACTTATAGTTCGTCGGTTTGTGGAGACGTCCGTACTTTCACATAAACAGAGACACCGTTGATTGTGACAATATAGTGATAACATTATTTATTATCAGTGGACGTAAACTTTACTTGCAAAGTAAAATGAAAATAAAATTTTTAAACGTTAAATGGTTATCGCGTGTGGTCAGAGTCGAGAGTGATTTAACTAAATATACTGCGACGACTGGCAGACTATTTAGTAATGTGTGTATATTGTGTATTGTGTAGAACAATATTATTTGAAATATAAAATACCTATTGCCATTTCAATACTATCTGAGAAAAGCATTTTGTATTTTATTTAAACTATTTTATGAACCTATTTTGCATTTGAAAATGTAAAGTACTTTTAGAAGTTTGTTAAATAAATTAAACACTGATAACTATGGAATTGAAATATCCCAAAAACTACGTCATAGGTTTTGTGGTTGTTTCAATACGCAAAATGTTATTATCTGTAGGCTGCTACTGAAGCTGCAGCTTCAGCGCCGCAGCCGGCTGGCCGAAGCACTGACACAAACAAGGAGCCACTTGAAGACCTAATCGGTCGTCGTCACAACTACCTGCGCATATCTCTTACTGAGCGATGTAATTTACGGTGTAAGTACAGTTGCATGCAATGACATGTCCCACACAAACTTACTGACTGTTTTTGTATCATACTGTATACAATGTAGTAGTAAATATGTACATACTGTACTCTCTGCCTCATACCATGTAATATATTACAAGACTATGTATATTAACATCCTTGTAAGAGCACTATGTGACCCATTGAAATACAGAAGGTTTGAAATTAAAATATGGTTAAAATATTATTGAAATACATTTTTAATTTAATATCTATATTGATACTACGACGAAGACTGAACCGAAGGAGACGAGATGAGTATGTGTCTCCTTGAAATACTGGCAATTTGTTTGTAGCTCTCCTGGGGTTATATGTATTCTTCGCAAATGCTAGGGCTCAGCCTTACCTAATATGTGTACCTACCTAATAAGTAGGGCTAAGCATTACCTAAGTGACTGTGAGTATGTAAAAATAATTCGTAATAAATGACATCGATTGCTATGTATGTTTTAAATGGCATAGTTCAAATAGAGTAACCGCTATAAGTATAATGAACATCAGGCCAGTACTGCATGCCGGCGGAGGGCGTGCCGCTGTCGGCGCGCGGCTCGCTGCTGGCCGCCGACGAGGTGCTGCGGCTGGCGCGAGTGTTCGCAGACCTCGGCGTCGACAAGGTGCGCCTCACCGGCGGCGAGCCCACGCTGCGGCCCGACCTCGCGCACATCATACGTACGTGCAGCATGCGTCCCGCATACGTCCCGCCCGCTCACTTATCGATTCCACCATCCGTTAACGGACCGTTTCATTGTCACCCGTCGTACTCAATTGGCAGCGTGAGTGCGACATGCCATTATTAAAAAGTAGTTTCTGTAAATACACGCCTGTAACTAAAGGAATGGAACGTTCGTTCATTCGACTTTGAGTAGAACTGATTGTGTTGATTGTGTTAAAGCTGCTTTCTGTTTGCTTTGGGAGAAGTGGAAATTTTGTACTTAAATTTAAATGAAACGACGTTATGTCTTTACGGTTGTATTTTGGCGACTGATTGTAATGTACACAAATGGTGGCCGGCCGGCAGAAACACACATAACTATAACTGCGGTCCAATATAGACCAACCAGATTGTGATATTCGTAGAGGGCCTGAGTGAAATAGAGGGCATCCGAAACGTGTCGATGACGACGAACGGGCTGGTGCTGACGCGGCGGCTGCCGGCGCTGCAGCGCGCGGGACTCACCGCCGTCAACGTGTCGCTGGACTCGCTGCGGGCGCCGCGCTACGAGCACATGGCGCGCCGCCCGGTGAGTGTGTGTGTGTGTGTGTGAGCCGCGCTACGAGCACATGGCGCGCCGCCCGGTGAGTGAGTGTGTGAGCCGCGCTACGAGCACATGGCGCGCCGCCCGGTGAGTGAGTGAGTGTGTGAGCCGCGCTACGAGCACATGGCGCGCCGCCCGGTGAGTGAGTGTGTGAGCCGCGCTACGAGCACATGGCGCGCCGCCCGGTGAGTGTGTGTGTGTGTGTGTGAGCCGCGCTACGAGCACATGGCGCGCCGCCCGGTGAGTGAGTGTGTGTGTGAGCCGCGCTACGAGCACATGGCGCGCCGCCCGGTGAGTGAGTGTGTGAGCCGCGCTACGAGCACATGGCGCGCCGCCCGGTGAGTGAGTGTGTGAGCCGCGCTACGAGCACATGGCGCGCCGCCCGGTGAGTGAGTGTGTGAGCCGCGCTACGAGCACATGGCGCGCCGCCCGGTGAGTGAGTGTGTGAGCCGCGCTACGAGCACATGGCGCGCCGCCCGGTGAGTGAGTGTGGCCGCCCGGTGAGTGAGTGTGTGTGTGTGTGAGCCGCGCTACGAGCACATGGCGCGCCGCCCGGTGAGTGTGTGTGTGTGTGAGCCGCGCTACGAGCACATGGCGCGCCGCCCGGTGAGTGTGTGTGTGTGTGAGCCGCGCTACGAGCACATGGCGCGCCGCCCGGTGAGTGAGTGTGTGTGTGTGTGAGCCGCGCTACGAGCACATGGCGCGCCGCCCGGTGAGTGTGTGTGTGTGTGAGCCGCGCTACGAGCACATGGCGCGCCGCCCGGTGAGTGTGTGTGTGTGAGCCGCGCGCGCCGCCCGGTACGAGCAGCCGGCGCGCGCGCCCGGTGAGTGTGTGTGTGTGTGAGCCGCGCTACGAGCACATGGCGCGCCGCCCGGTGTGTGTGTGTGTGTGTGTGTGTGTGTGAGCCGCGCTACGAGCACATGGCGCGCCGTCCGGTGAGTGTGTGTGTGTGTGTGTGAGCCGCGCTACGAGCACATGGCGCGCCGCCCGGTGAGTGTGTGTGTGTGTGTGCCGCGCTACGAGCACAGGGCGCGCCGTCCGGTGAGTGAGTGTGTGTGTGTGTGTGCCGCGCTACGAGCACATGGCGCGCCGCCCGGTGAGTGTGTGTGTGTGTGTGTGAGCCGCGCTACGAGCACATGGCGCGCCGTCCGGTGAGTGTGTGTGTGTGTGTGTGAGCCGCGCTACGAGCACATGGCGCGCCGTCCGGTGAGTGTGTGTGTGTGTGTGTGAGCCGCGCTACGAGCACATGGCGCGCCGTCCGGTGAGTGTGTGTGTGTGTGTGTGAGCCGCGCTACGAGCACATGGCGCGCCGTCCGGTGAGTGTGTGTGTGTGTGTGTGAGCCGCGCTACGAGCACATGGCGCGCCGTCCGGTGAGTGTGTGTGTGTGTGTGTGAGCCGCGCTACGAGCACATGGCGCGCCGTCCGGTGAGTGTGTGTGTGTGTGTGTGAGCCGCGCTACGAGCACATGGCGCGCCGCCCGGTGAGTGTGTGTGTGTGTGTGAATTTCATTAAAAATTGTAATTAGCAGCTATGGTCTGAATTGGTTTACGTTTCGATATACCCATACGGTATGGGTATATCGAAACGTAAAAATATTCTGGGTACTTATAATGATAACTGTAAGTCGAATTTAATACTGTGTCGTGTAAGATGAATAAGTACGTGCAATTTCAAAATTGAAGTAACGTCGCTGTGACGCAGAATAAGTCTCTGGCAGCACCGAAGTTAATAAATAAAACGTGTGTGTGTGTGCGTGTGTGTGCAGGGTCTGTCTCGCGTGCTGGCCGGCGTGGACCTCGCGCTGCAGCTCGGGTACCGCCCCGTCAAAATCAACACCGTGCTCATGAAGGGTACGTCCACTGTTTCTTCAAAGTACTGATCTATATGAGTTTTAGATATTCCTAATGCTAGCACTGTTTACTGTACGGTAGATTCCATTGGAGACATCTAGTACTTTTGCTAAATGAAACAAATAAACCTTTAATAACGTCACACTGTAAATATGTTGTCGACGAAGTGTGGCAAGCAATGGCCGACGTGACGATGAAGGATGCACGAAGGATGTGACGACGGAACTATACATTCCATGTACTACACTCGTGACATATCAAACAATTGAAACATATTTTTTATTCTTACTTCTTCCCATAATCCGGGATAACTTCTTAAATAATGGCGTGATTTTAATGAATTTGTAGTATGTATCAATTTAAACTTAACAGTTTAACTTTTCAAATGGTACCTATTTTTATTATAGTTAACTAGTTATTAAGTACACAAAATCGTGCGGAATCAATTCCAAGTAAGTGATTCCATACTTTCGCTCGCAAGTGTAGTACAAAATGCAAAATTAATTGTATTCCAGTAGCAGTGGTGACAGGGCGCGTAAAATAATACGAATAAAGTGGATAGACAGATTTGTCTGCTTACATCCACCACCAGCTGCAGTCGATCTGTGACCAGGATGTAACACCACGATATATCGTTTACAAGATTGATGCTCAATACAATATTGTGGATCTGGGATGGTAATTAGGCCGACGTGTACATTTGTGTATAATTGTTTGTTTTTGTTCGGTTTCAGGTTTTAACGACGACGAGATTTTAGATTTTGTTGAATATACACGCGACAAAGAAATAGAAGTGAGGTGAGCGTTTTAAGTAACTTTTATTACATGGACTTTATCTTACAATATGTTTCAACATCACGTGGAAAGAAACATAGTTAATAATAATCACCCTGGAGAATTTACACAGGTCATTCCAACCAAAGCAGAGCTAGTGTCATGGGTACTAGACAGCTTATACAAATGTTTGTATACGTAGAATATATAATATACGTAGAAAACACCCAGATCAATAAAAACAAACCTGAATGTTTGTACCGTACGAGAAATCGAACCCGCAACCATCGGAAGTAAGGCGGTGAACAACCAGACCACCTGGGCTGTCACCTTACGCTTATTCGAAATGTATAGCGTGCAATCGTACGTGTCTATAATATTGGTATGAAGACATATATCACGACCAAATGACAGACACCCACTCAGCGTAAGTAATAACAATGGATTTTTAGGTAGGCCTTTACCTGTCGGCCGGCGATGTACCCACGCGTACTACGAGGTCAGCTTTGAATTGTATCCGTTCATGTAGCCGCAGTCTTGTAGCTACCTAGCTTACCTTGTAGCTACTTGATATTTTTTACAACAAACACCAGTTTATTATTTTCGTATACCTATACATATGTAGTTATCATTCTTAGAGTACAACATGTGCGGGTACATTTTTTTGTCACAGTTCATTTATCTAGTTCTAGTATCAGTTGAAATCCCTAACAATACATTTGAATGTTAGTAAAATTATAAATGAATACAAATCTAAGTTAATGTTGAAAGACAAAAAATGGCTGCATAGTTATCAGTGGCTATCGTTTATGTAGTATCTAACGATGTGCTTTCGATTTAATTCCGGTTTGATGCTGTCAAGTGTGAGGCCCAGCGACTTGCTTAGCATAATTAAAGCTAAAAGCTAACAGACAGAACCCATTGTCTGGCCCCTCCTTCGATGAAATAGGCTAACCGTCATCTATAACCAGGAATCATGGACATCATACAATTAACTTGTGATGCCTGCGGTACTCCTCATGCGTTGCTTTTCCTGACGGAGCCATAACTCCGTATGATGGGAGTCAGTTTCTTAATAGAATTACCTAACCTTATATTTTATAACAAGTTTGTAACAAACTTCAAGAAGTATTTCGTATTCCCGAATAGTGTTAGGTTTTATAAAGAATTCAAAATTAATTACAAACAACTTTTATGTAAGTACTAAATGGGTAAAATCAAATAAGTGGTAGTTTTGTAATGTTATATGTTTGGACAGCTGCGTCTACTATTATAGAATTATAATAAAATAGCCTCAGCAATTATACACTCAATTTAAATTTCCGGGCCATAGTTAGAAGCTGACTAAAGCGGAACATTATAATTGAGACGGTCTAAGTGGCAGCAGACTGCGTGCAAACACGTTTTACGTAAATGTATATTTTCATTTTATCTGTTATTATTCTCATCGACAAGGATGTCTTTATGAAAGTTGCTAATTGGCGTAATGGTGGGCTTGTACTGTTTTTTCATTTGTGGCGATAAGAAGACAGAAATTCAGTAGTATTTAATTATAGACTGATTACAGAAAGTCAATCCACATCGACCGGATTAGAAATGTTCGTAGAATCGTAATTCGATATATTTCGTGTACCTACTCAACCCAGTTAAGTAGGTACACATACATTACATTCGCAGCGAGTTGCATCATTAGTATTTTAACCTTCGAGATAACTCGCGATAATACGAGTACGAATACTTCGTAGCGACTACATTCACTCACGATCGTACCGATGTCGTAATGTTCATTCGCGTACCGCGTCGAGTACGAACGTGAGGGACGCGAGGTGCGAGCGGCGGTGACGTGTCGTGTGACGGCGGCAGGTTCATCGAGTTCATGCCGTTCTCCGGCAACGGGTGGGACGACTCCCGGCTGGTGCCGCACCGGGCCGCGCTGCGGGCCGTGCGCGCCGCACACCCCGCCCTGCGGCCGCTGCCGCCGCGAGCCAGCGACACCGCACAGGTACGTACTTACAACGGGTGGGACGACTCCCGGCTGGTGCCGCACCGGGCCGCGCTCCTCGGCCCACGACACCGCACACGCACGTACTTCCAACGGGTGGGACGACTCCCGGCTGGTGCCGCACACCGCCGCGCTGCGGGCCGTGCGCGCCGCACACCCCGCCCTGCGGCCGCTGCCGCCGCGAGCCAGCGACACCGCACAGGTACGTACTTACAACGGGTGGGACGACTCCCGGCTGGTGCCGCACCGGGCCGCGCTGCGGGCCGTGCGCGCCGCACACCCCGCCCTGCGGCCGCTGCCGCCGCGAGCCAGCGACACCGCACAGGTACGTACTTACAACGGGTGGGACGACTCCCGGCTGGTGCCGCACCGGGCCGCGCTGCGGGCCAGCGACACCGCACAGGTACGTACTTACAACGGGTGGGACGACTCCCGGCTGGTGCCGCACCGGGCCGCGCTGCGGGCCAGCGACACCGCACAGGTACGGGTCCGTCGTGTGACAGAGAAGGAAACTCCGAGCAGTTCTCGAAACCTGTGGTATTACATATGACCTATAATCCAAAAATACAGAACATACTGCAGTTCTAGACGAACTCAAGAAGATTGTAGTGTGCGTATGTGTGCAGGTGTGGCGCGTGCCGGGGTACGTGGGCTCGGTGGGATTCATCTCGTCCATGACGCAGCACTTCTGCTCCTCCTGTAACCGGCTGCGGATCACTGCCGACGGTAATCTCAAAGTAAGACATATCAGTAATATTACAAGTCTATATTTATATTTTGCATTCACGTTTTAATTACGAGACTACTAGGACTACAGTATATCGATCATCGAAGGACTGAGGTAGTTTATAGCACCTACTGAAAAATCTCTCTAATATTATAAACACTAAAATTTGTTTAAATAAATTTATATTTGTCCGGCTCGAAGGATCGAGTCGGATATATTGGTGTCAGAGTGTAAAGAAGTGGACTATCTATATTATATCCAACTAGTTGAATTACTGTATTCTTGATATTACTGTAAAGATACATCAAGTTTTATAGACCGACATCAGACTAATACTCAGGCAGTATTTTGAAAGTCTGTCTAACTACTGGGTGTATTCGTGAGTGCGTATGTGTAGGTGTGCTTGTTCGGCGCGGCGGAGGTGTCGCTGCGGGCGGCGCTGCGGGGCGAGGGGGGTGCCCCCCCCGCGGACGACGCCGCCCTCGCCCGCCTCGTGCGGGCCGCGCTCCGCCGCAAGCAGCCGCGCCACGCCGGTGAGTACCCATCAGACGTCGACGGTCGTACGGGACATCAGACTAGCAGGAATGGGGAAACACATAGGCCATCTCATACTGTATACTTGTTTCTTTATAAATTCATACTGTGTCGCTGACTAACGTAGACTGAGAGAGGACGAACAGTGTAACAATACGCACATAGAAATCAAGGGTAAGATGGAAAGGGAGACGAAAAGTGGTCAATACGATTATTTATTTAGGTATGGAGAACCTCGCCCGCATGGAGAATCGTCCGATGATTCTGATAGGTGGCTAGAGGCGCTCGGTGCCTCAGAGGTGTGGAACGTTCACAGCGCGCGGCCCGCTCGTGCGGCCCCGGCCCGGCCCGCGCCGAGCGCTCGCGCGCGCCTACTGCACGCGGGCGGGGGGCGGCGAGGGGGGCGGCGAGGGGGGCGCGGGGGGCGAGGGGGGCGCCGGGTTCACGCACCTGGACGCGGCCGGGCGCGCGCGCATGGTGGACGTGGGCCACAAGCCGGTGACGGCGCGCGAGGCGGAGGCGGAGTGCTCGCTGCGCGTGGGCGCGCGCCTGCTGCGGCTGCTGCGCGACGCGCGCCTGCCCAAGGGCGACGCGCTCACGGTGGCCGAGCTGGCCGGCGTGCTGGCCGCCAAGCGCACCGCCGACCTCATCCCGCTGTGCCACGCGCTGCCGCTCGACTCGGTGCGCGTGACCGTGCGGCTGCCGGCGGGTGAGGGCGGGGGCGGGGGCGGGGGCGGCGCGGTGCGCGTGCGCTGCGTGGCGCGGGCGACGGCGCGCACGGGCGCGGAGATGGAGGCGCTGGTGGGGTGCGCGGTGGCCGCGCTCGCGCTCTACGACATGTGCAAGGCGGTGGACCGCGGCATGCGCCTCACGGACCTGCGCGTGCTGCGCAAGAGCGGCGGCGCCAGCGACTGGCCGCCGGCGGGGGGCGCGGGGGGCGCGGGGGGCGAGGGGGGCGGGCGGGGGGCGCGGGCCGAGGACTAGCCGCGCCGCCGCCGACCGACGTGACGCACTTCTGAGGGCCCGCACGAGGACGGTGTCGACCTCGGTGTCAGACTTTTTAATCATCATCAATTTCATCACCATCGCACCTTAACTATAAGTTTGAATCGGGAATATTTTTTTAATGAGCATGTTATGAATGAAATGAAAATGAATGAAATCACTTCAAACATACAAATTGTTATTATAATATCAAATACAGAAATGAAAGCTCATCGAGTACACGAGTACCTACTGTTGTACTAGAGTACAAGAGTCCATAGCTCGACAGCAACTTTTTGGTGCTATACCTATTACTTACATTCCGTATGTGATATAAAGTAGATAAGGTATTTTTGTACATTTATATTTTATTATAAAACTATCCTATTTTATTGTTAGCAACACTTACGTAAATTAAGTAACGTCGTAATGTACTACAAGTACTGTTATATTGTACATAAAAATGTACACATTGTTTGTTGTCGTGCACCGGTTCCAGGAACTGCTGCATTTCACCTACGTCACATTTTACACGGTAGCTATAACATATATTCTGGGTGCTATGCTGTTAAATAAATTGTTTTTATAAAATAAGACTGACTTTGATTACACCCAGTCACCATGTATACAAATACTAAGTTAATTTAATTACTTTTCTTACAATAATTTCTGCATCTATGACATAGCAACTCATTCAGGTGATGTCTGTAGACTATTCATGTATACATATAGGCAATGGTTACCGTTTACATACATTACCTTGTCTTTATCTTTTTCCTAACACCTTGTACTCTTGATTTGTGTTGCCTTTGTATGGTGATGTCGAATGTTAGTAGTTCATTGCTTTTCTGTTGCTGTTTGAATGCTTGTTAGTGGCTCAGTTTATTCTTATAAATTGTTTCAAAATGTTTAATATAGCCACAGATAAGATAATATTACAGGAATACATGGTTTTTAAATTTTAAATAAATTCATTCATCAATAAAATAAATTGTGGAAATATCAAAGGGCTCCATTTAGTCTCAATCTAAGAAAGTTTTGTGGGTACTAATGATTGCGGGATGACTATATTTTAACAACAGCAGTCACCAGGTCCCGTCATGCTCCGCTTTTGTTGTATTTAAATGAAATACTTCTTATTTGAGTTTACTTTTTTATTTACTTAAATATTAAATACTTCGTTAGGAGTTACAGTTGGTTGCATTTGTTCACTTTCATCCTTGGATGTACATATCTTCTTTATTCAATGTAAAAAATTAAACTATTTAGTAAGCAATGTAATAGTTTTAGTCACATACCACGTTTTATATTTTTAATATTACCACAGACGACACACAGAGATAGCGTTCAGTTCAGTACCTTACTGTGAATGTGGCAAATCACATAATTAATAATAATTTTAATATATCTATAGAAGTAAAGCTTGCGCAACAAATCAACATGTGGTCGTTAGTTGGTGGGCACGAGTACGTTGGAGGTGGCGGGGTGGTCGGGCGCGGCGGGCGGCGGGCGGTCGCCGCGGTGGATGTGGATGTCGTGCGACTCGATGTATTCATTTATTTCTTGACCTTTTCGCGTCAGCTGTTCATGTAACGCCTGCAGTGCTTTGGGCAGTCGCTCCTGGTTAGTTTCCAATTCTGGCAGTACGTCGGCCACTGTGCGCTCCACGAGTACTCCGCCGAACATCCGGAAACATTTGCGTTCACCTTCCACTTCACGTAATGTTTCGATCACTGTCCTGACAAAGAAAAAAGTGATAATGAAACAAATCATATGACAAATCAATCGGTAACATGTAAATATAACTAAGGCACACCAAATATAAAGAAAAAACTGCTGCTAAAAGACTAAGAATTTAATGTCCAGTACCCATTAAAACATGGACCATGGACATTATCATATAGAGTATGCTAACTGTGCAGGTCGGAGGCTGGACATGTGTACTGAAATTTTGACACAAAGTGTTGTCTGCATATTCGCACTGTCATATCTATCTCACTGCATACACTCACCATCCAAGGATGAAAGATTAAGTTTATTAATTTTTAACGAGATTTTATTAAATAATAAAAAAACAGAGGATGTAGTACAAATGTAAGGTATGTTTTGTCCTAAAAGGCTGAACTGATCTGACAACTTCAGGCATTTGCTTCAGATTCAACGATACTTTCATGTAGCCGATTGAGGATTTGTAGGAAATAAAAATAACCCTTCTATGTAACTATACTATTATAATTTACTTCATGATTAGGTAACAGTGAGGAGGTAGATGTTATATATAGGCTATCCCCCCTAAAGACTTAATTGTTATATTTTGTCAATAAATGAATATGATATAAAAACTGCTGTCCTAAACCAATCATATGAGCTGCATAACAATTATTTTCTTTCAAATCTTGAGGTAAATATTTTGATATTTTATTCAACTATTAAAATATCAAGGGAAGTTACAAGACTCAATGGTACTTTCAGAATAGTGACTAAATAATATCCAGTCCAGCTATGATTAAATAATGTCCAGTTTTTTCTTCCTCATGTAAATTATACAGGAATAATTAGGCTGACCTCATCTCTCCATTATTATTATGTAGCATTCCACTTCTTATACAGTGTACATAATTGGACTTCAATAAAAAATAGGTACATGGTTCTAATTGAAGAGAGTTACTGCTCACAGTGAACATGTGGAGAAGTCGGTCACGGCACCTGGTATGACTGCTGTAATGGGTCACATTATGTGATATGAAGCAATTTAAACTTACTTGTGTTCATTAAGATCCATTTCAAGTTCAGATATTTTGTTCGCTAGCTGCCGCTGTTCAGTACGCAATGCTTGTAGTCCAGCAGCAATTTCTTCATTTGATTTTCCTTTACTGCCCGCGCCGCTCTTAGGTACGCTTTTTGACATTTTGAGAGCAGGATCTAATTGTGATTTTGAGATGTGGAAGCCAAATTAATACTTAAATATTGTTTGTTTTAGGTTAGTACCTTTAGTCATGAAATATTTTTTTATAGAATAGATATATTTGTATTTGGAGTACTTATGATACATATATATATAATTATTTATTTATTGTCTGTTGGCGACACTGCTGATGAGGGTTGCCAACCTTAAAACTTCTGCCTCTAAGCAAATCTACATTATTATAACTTTGACATTTACACATGTCACTGTAATCTAAGATTAAAAAACAGTATAGTTGTATAGTTTGTTTTGATATAGTTAAAATATTTATGTTCAGTGAATTTTTGTTTTGTAAATAAAATTAGTTACTGAAATTAATGTAAATGAACAATTTTCAAATGTTATCTTGAACCTAATAATTATTATATAAACATATATTTTTTGTTGTTTTGTCTGTTTTCATAAATATACAGTTGTTTCACAGTAGTTTGCAATAAGTCCAATTTTGTCATCAGAATTTTGTATCCTCATCAGATCGACCTGACAAATTAGAATCCACCAGATTCTTTGTCATATTTATGCAGGTAGTATATTACTAAACAGTGATGAAGCAAGAAGAAATCCTGCTGTACCAGGACATGGAAACCAAGGAGCAGACATGTGTGGATGTAAGTGGCTCTCATATGTGCATAATACAATAAATATTGGAATTACTTTAATGACCTAATCACTATGATGCAATGTTATTAAAGTTATGTAGGTATAGTCTTCTGTATGCCCTCCTCAAAGAGGATGTGGTGGGAATGATATAACTAGAGTGGCTTACCATTGGCATACATTGGAAGGGATAGGGCGAGTAGGTACATGACATTAAAATGAACACTGTAACACTATTATTTATAAATTATAGAACACATATATGACACACACTTTTCAGTTTTTTGTGAGTGACAATAAACAGGGACCCTAGTAACCACATAGACTTTATACTAGTGCTATTCAACCTTAACAGGAAAGAGCTTGTCCAATAAAAATTGAAACAGCTGAATGTGATTAAGTATTTGCTATATTCTTGTTTATATTTTGTGTGATGTGGATGTTGAAAAAAGAAATGTCTAGTGCTGTGGTATTGATAATTTTTATTGTTTGTTTTATTATGTACTGCGATGGTAGTAAACAAGTGTACCACCCATCTATGAGTACACAGTAAACAGTCTTTGGACGCTTGATATAGCAGAGGTGTCACATACATAGTGTTATCCCTTAAGAAACCTCAATATCAGAAATCCTAGGTAGGTAGTTTAAGGGGGGAGACTCATGTAAATGCCTCGAAATCGGTCATTTTTTAATATTTTTTTTACAGTGAAAAAATAATTTAATTGTTTAGAACTTTTAACACAACTTTATTAAACATTTTAAGATTACAAAACAAGAATTTTTTTATTTTAATTCAAAATGGCGGCTCAGCATGATGTCTTGTAGGCTGCCTCTGACGCGAGGTCCGAAACTGCTCCATTTGTCACTCATCAACCATTGATCTGAAACACAAAAAAAATTTTTTTTTAATTTCAGGACATATAAACGGAAAGGATAAACCTATAAAATTAAAAAGAAAAGGATAAAATCCAATATAAAATCAGCCTTAAAAAAAGTTACGATTTTGGGCTATTTTTTTGACCCGTTTGACCCCAAAAAAAATAAGTAATCAATCAGAAATACCCGAAGTTGTAGGTTTATCCTTCCTTTTAATGTAGAGAAAAGCCTCACCAAATTTCAAACAAATCGGGCAATAATTTTTTGAGCTACAACACGAGCAGTTTTTCAAAAAGTAGTTTCGAGATAATCGCTGTATAAGTTTGTTATTTTATATAGAAGCTTTAGTACTCGAGCTACATACTAGATGGCGCTGTGTTAAAAGTAGACGTCGATATGGTTTCGTTGTATTACTGTGTATATATGTACGCCATTTTGTAAAAATAAACCCCTTTTTTAAGTTCAGCAATCCAACATCGCTGGTTGTTTTATTTATTCACACCAAAGGACGCTGTAGTAGTCCAGAGTTTAGTGTTGGGTTGTACATTTTTTGGTCCAAATTCGAGCCGAATGCCGATCTTCCCCAGTATTAAGTGGTAATATGGCGGAAGATAGAACCTAGTAGGGGCAGTGGTTCGCTACTCGGTTTACAATCGGAGGACATCGGAGTTGCTAAGCGCTCAAGGAGTGAGCGAGACAGCAGATCTGAAGACGGCGTTGGAGTGAGAGGTCAGAGGCGAGCCAACGACGTCACGGTAACCTTGAAATGTCACATGGTGTGACAAGTGCAAGTGCAGTTGCAGTAATATTGTTGTGGTGTGAGTGAAACGGAAAATATTGTGAGTACATTTAAATTTATTTACGGAAGTTACGCGAAATTGAACTTTCTATTTGAGAAAAAATAAGGTTAGAAGTTATATGGACAATAATAATTTAGAAAATAATTATTATATAACATTTAGTAAAATTTGTAACACTTTTAATAGTTTTAAGAAAAGAGTTGATACGGAGAACCTATGTCTGATTTTTTATTTATTACGTTCAAACACTTGTAAAATTCTTAACTGTAAAACTGAATTTAGAGTAGTTTATAGTTTGAATTTTAATTTGTATAGTAATATGTCAGGAACATAAAATAATTTGCTGAGTTTGAACATTTAGGAACTTAGTACAATTATTTTCATTTGTATTTTTTACTTAAAAATTGACCTTATTATATTTTTATAGTTTGAAATTTCAATTGAATAGTAATAAACCTACATAGAATAAATTGTTAAGTTTATAAATTTAGGGACATTTTCTTTATTTGTTTTAGAATATTTTTTATAGATTCGATTTTCAATTGTGTAATAGTATACTGGGAACATATAATAATTTGCTAAGTTTAAAAATTTAGGAACTTAGTACAATTTAAAACTTATATTTTTTACTTTCAAATTGAACTTAGAATATTTTATAGTTTGAGTTTTCATTTGTGTACTAGTATATCGGTGACATAGAATAATTTACTAAGTATAAAGGTTTAGAGACTTAGTACAATTCTTGTTACTTTTAACTCTTTAAAATATAATTGTAATTTCTGTAATTAAATAAGATGGAAGGTTTATTGAATTGTCAAAGAGACAATTTTAATAGAATATCAAAGGCACAAATTAACTTTAAAAAATCTCCGAAAGACCGAATAACGGAGTCATATGTAGAAACTAAACTGGATAATATAGAACAGTTGTGGGTTGAGTTTCTCACTACACATCAGCAAATACTTAAGGATTATAAGTGGGAAGATGTACAACGTACTTTTTATGTTAAAGATGAAATATATGACAAAACTGAAGAAATATTTTCTGATTATAAAAGCACACTTAAAAGATATTTAAAAAGTTTTAATGAAAATAAAATTAGTAGTGGTGATAAAGATTCTGGTTCTTCTAAAGCAGGCAATGGGTCCTCTTCTGCGGTAAAACTTCCGAAAATAATTATTCCGCAATTTTCAGGAAAATATACGGAGTGGTATTCCTTCAGGGATTTGTTTATTTCTTTGGTTCATTCTAATAATTCAATAGATGATGTACAGAAGTTACATTATTTAAAGGGGCATTTGACCGGAGAAGCGGAGCAATTAATTAGACATGTTCCGATTACTTCTGCAAACTATATACAGTGTTGGCAACAGTTAGAGAATAGGTACAATAACAAGCGATATTTGGCAAATTGTATTTTAAAAAGATTGTTTAGCCAAAGATCATTAGGTAATGAATCCGCATCAGTTTTAAAAGAATTACTAGATACTACAACTGATTGTATACACGCGTTAAAAAATTTGAATATAGATGTTAGCACATGGGATATTATTATAATACACATTATAAATTATAAACTAGATCAGGAAACACGCAAACAATGGGAATTGAAAATATCAGCTGAGAATTCAAATGAACTACCCACTTTCAATCAATTTTCAGAATTTCTTCAAAGTAGATTTCGGGCTTTAGAATGTATAGAACCAAAACAGCGATCTTTAATTCCTAGTAGCGGGTCTTATCCTAAAACTAAAACTTGTATGCACGTGGCTAAAATAAATTGTGAATTCTGTTCGGAAACGCATAAATTATGTTTCTGCAAAAAATTCGCAAAATTAGATTATACTCACCGTTATGAATTTGTAGCTAAAAATAGTTTGTGTTTCAATTGTCTTGGAGGCAACCACTCTGCCAAGTTCTGCCAGAGTACTACTATTTGTAAAGTTTGTAAACGTAGGCATCACTCTCTCTTGCATCCACAGAAAAGGGACCATTTAGAAATTTCAGGTTCTGGTAATTCAACAAATAAAGTCGAAAGTAAAGATAAAAAAGTAGATATAGATAGTGGGGAAACATCTAGTAATATAGTTTCATGTTTTTCTGCTGGTCAAACTGCAGTTCATAGTCAAGTATTGCTTGCCACCGCACTCGTTCAAGCTGATACTCAAAACGGGGAGAGTCGGGTTATAAGGGCGTTACTGGATCAAGGTTCACAAGCATCCTTCATCACAGAAGCGACTGCTCAATATTTGGGGGTAAAGAAAATTCCAGTACAGGGAACGATATCTGGTCTAGAAGGAAATAAAAATGTAACTGCCAAATATATGGTCCAGCTGAAGATACGCTCACGCATCAAACCTGAAATAATTATCATGGTGCAAGCATATGTACTGAAAACAATTACTACTTTTCTACCAAATAAGAAAGTAGTTGAATTGGATTGGTTGGATTTAAATGAAATACAACTTGCAGATCCTCAATATCACACTCCAAACAAAATCCATATTTTGTTGGGAGCTGAGATATATGGACAGATTATTGAAGATGGGGTTAAAAGAGGACCTCATGGTACACTAGTGGCACAAGCTACGTCGCTAGGATGGATACTTTCTGGTACAATAAAGGAAGCATCATTTAGATCAGTAACTAATGTTACAGCCTTGCATTTATGTACGCATGAGAATGATTACCTTAAAAAATTTTGGGAAATTGAAAGTGATCCTTATACTTTAAAACGAATCTTGACAGAAGAAGAAATACTCTGTGAACAACTATATAAAGAAACTACAAAACGAGACAGTGAGGGACGATATATTGTCAAACTCCCATTTAAGTCTGAAAATCTGCAATATATTAACGGAAACTCGAGAGATATAGCTACAAAACGATTGAAGAGATTAATGGTGAAATTAAATAGAGATGAGACACTGAAAGAAAAGTATACAGAGATTATAAAAGAGTACTTACATCTAGAGCACATGGAAAGGATACCAGAAACAGAAAAAGAAAATAGATTAAGTTTCTACTTACCTCATCATGCAGTGATAAATAATGCCAAAGATACAACAAAGGTTCGCTTAGTATTCGATGCTTCTGCAAAAAATGAATATGGTGTATCATTAAACGAGTTATTAATGATAGGGCCAACACTTCAGCCAGAGTTGCGCCATTTAATCATGCGGTGGAGAATATATAAGATATGTTTAGCTGCTGATATCAACAAAATGTATCGGCAAATTAAGGTGTACGAACAAGATGCAGAATTTCAGCGAGTACTATGGAGAGATAATGAAAATGGAACAAAGGTAAGTCTTTTTAATCTATAATTAAAAAGACTTACCTTTGGTACGGCTGCTGCTCCTTATCTAGCTGTAAGGACACTGCAACAAGTTGCATTAGATGAAGGCGATAATTGTCTAAGTGTAGTTCAAAGAGTAAAAAACGACTTCTACATGGATGATCTTCTGACAGGCTGTGATACTGTTGAAGAAGGTGTTATTATTTATCAAGAAATGAATCAACTATTACAAAAAGGTGGCTTTCAACTGCAAAAATGGATGACTAACAGTGAAGATTTGTTAAATGAAATAAAGCAGGGAAATGAACATGCACAGGAAGGGTTGAAGATAAAGTTAGATGAAGTAGTTAAACTTTTAGGACTTACCTGGAATCGTTCAGCAGATACCTTTCAATATTCGGTGAATCTTCCTCCGGTGTCTGGACCTGTAACAAAAAGAAAGATTATCTCAGAAATAGCAAGATTATTTGATCCGCTGGGTTGGGCAGCCCCTAGCGTGATTATAGCAAAGGTATTAATTCAGAAGCTTTGGATCTTGAGAATTGATTGGGATGATGAAGTTCCAAATAATATAATTAATGAGTGGCATACTTACCGCACAGGCTTGTCGGAGCTAACAAAAATTAACATACCGAGATGGTTCGGAACTAAATTCACATCTTCACGAGTCGAGTTACATGGCTTCTCAGATGCGTCGAAGATAGCATATTCAGCAGCCGTTTATATACGATTAACAGACGAACATGGTAATATCCATGTCACTTTGGTTTCTGCTAAGACCAAAGTCGCGCCAATCAAACAAATTTCAGTCCCTAGATTGGAATTGTGTGGTGCCGTATTGGTGACACGTCTTTTGGTCGAGGTAGCTGAAGTTTTAGGCATCCCTAAAAAAGACATTCGAGCCTGGACTGACTCTACGGTGGTTTTAGCGTGGCTTAATAGCCATCCAAGTAAATGGCAAACCTTTGTTGCCAATAGAGTGTCCGAGATCTTGTCAACTTTAGATTCTCAACAATGGGCACATATAACATCAGGACAGAATCCTGCCGATTGTGCGTCTCGAGGTGTTAGTCCATCAGATCTATGGCAAAATACAATGTGGTTTAACGGACCGGAGTTTTTACATAAACATGAGGTGCATTACAATAAACCAAAGGATATTGCAACACATTTAGAAGAAAGTAAAGTACACCTAACAGTCACTGAAACTACACTTTGGGATCGATACAATTCATTGACAAGATTAATTCGAGTAATATCATACTGTAAACGTTTTTTAAATCTACGTACTGGACAACAGCGACAGAGTACTACTTTTCTTTCAACACAGGAATTGGCGGGTGCTTTAAAAACTTGCATAAAAATTTGCCAAAAACAAAATTTCCATGAAGAAATAGCTCAGATTAATAAAAATATAGAGTACAGTACAGTTAAGGGTCCGCTGAAATCGTTAAATCCGTTTATTGATAGTTCTGGAGTTTTACGAGTAGGTGGGCGACTTGAAAAATCACAACTCAATTTAGATGCTAAACACCCTATATTATTGCCAAAAAATTCACCATTTACAAAACTTATTATTGCTGATGCGCATACGAAAACTTTGCACATGGAGGACCACAACTTATGTTGTCCTTTATTGGGACTAAATATTATATTTTGAGTGCGAAATATTTAGTTAAAGCCTATGTTCGCAAGTGTGTTAAATGTATTCGCTACTCTGCAACTACTTCTACTCAATTAATGGGTCAATTACCTACAGCTAGAGTATCTCCAGGAAGACCCTTTCAGTGTAGTGGTGTTGACTATGCAGGCCCTGTGAATGTTAAAACTACAAAGGGTCGCGGTTATCATTCTACAAAAGGATATATTTGTCTATTCATATGTATGGCCACTAAGGCGATACATCTTGAGTTGGTTGGAGACCTTACCACACAAGGGTTTTTGGCGGCTTTTAGACGTTTTGTTGCTCGCAGAGGTTTATGTACAGATATTTGGAGCGATAATGGAACAAATTTTGTTGGCGCCTCGCGCGAATTACGAACTTTGTTCGCTTCTGAGAATAAAAAAATTTCAACAGAGGTAGCCGAAATTCTAGCCACACAAGGTACTACGTGGCATTTTATACCACCACGCTCTCCTAATTTTGGAGGGTTATGGGAAGCCGGGATAAAATCTACCAAATTTCATCTAAGGCGAATAGTTGGAGATTTAATTTTAACTTACGAGGAATTGTTCACAACTTTAGCACAAATAGAAGCGTGCTTAAATTCACGTCCACTATCCAGAATAGACTCAGAACAGGATACAATAAATGTTTTGACACCAGGGCATTTCCTCATCGGAGGACCATTACTAGCTCCTACAGATTACAACTTTGAAAGGTCCAACATATCTAATCTTCGTAGGTGGCAGTTGGTTCAAAGATTGACGCAAGATTTTTGGAGGCGTTGGTCTCAAGAATACCTTACACGGTTTCTTCATCGGTATAGGTGGTCACATCAAAAACCAGAACCTGACGTTGGGGATGTAGTTTTAGTAAAAGAAGACGACTTACCTCCTTGTCGATGGTTGCTCGGGAGAGTGGTTGCTAAACATCCAGGCATGGATAACATCACTCGGGTAGTTACTATTAGGAATCAGAATTCACTAATTAAACGCCCCACTTCAAAGTTATGTGTACTGCCTATTACAGAGTAAATTGTTATTTTTTTTATAGTGTTAGTGTTGATTTACTCATTTTTAGTTAATTAATTATTTAGTTTATTTTTTTTAGCCCTACTATCTATAGTTTAATTGTTTATAATATGTTATTGCCCTACATTTGTTATTACGTATCCATGGTGGGCGGCTCCAAGTGTGAAGGACAAATCATGTCCTTGGTGGGCGGAATGTATAAGTTTGTTATTTTATATAGAAGCTTTAGTACTCGAGCTACATACTAGATGGCGCTGTGTTAAAAGTAGACGTCGATATGGTTTCGTTGTATTACTGTGTATATATGTACGCCATTTTGTAGAAATAAACCCCTTTTTTAAGTTCAGCAATCCAACATCGCTGGTTGTTTTATTTATTCACACCAAAGGACGCTGTAGTAGTCCAGAGTTTAGTGTTGGGTTGTACAATCGCGTTTAAAGTTTCAGTACAGGAAAATGAGTAGTTTTACTGAAGTATTAATTACTTACCGACTATATAATAGGCAATATATAAATTATGATATATTGGTAAAAGATGCTGTTTTAAATCTTCAACAAGTATTTTTATTTATTTATTTACGTACTTGACAATACATACTTCGGCCCGCTCCACTGTATTAGCTATAACTTTGTAAATATTTGAGATTTTTTTTTCCGGCTCGTCAGTACACGCTCAATATAGTATACTTTCAGAATATCGAAAAAAAAAAATCGATTTTTTGAAAATTTTACATGAGTCTCCCCCCTTAATGTGTACAATGATTATTATGGAATTATGGTTTCGCTCATACGGGACTGTATAGAAATAAAATTAATTAAACCTGCAATATATGTTTAAAATTGTATTTATAAGGAAAATAATGTAAAAATAATTGAATAAAGTCATCGTGAATGCGCGTCCGGGGGCGCAGGAGGCGGGCGAGCTATGCGAGGCGGCGGCGGCGGCGGCGGGTGAGGGGGAGGATGAGGGTGAGGGTGAGAGGGAGGGGGAGGCGGCGGCGGCGCTGGGCGCGCTGCTGGAGGCGGCGGGCGCGGCGGGCGCGGGCGCGGACCCCGAGCTGCGCGTGCGGCGCCTGGCCGAGCGCGCGGCGCGGCTCGACGCGCTCAACGTGGCCGGCATGCTGGCCGCCGCCACCGAGGGCGGCGGCGCGCGCCTCGCCGACCGCCTCGCGGCCGCCGCCCGCGCCGGCGCCGCGCTGCGCGACCGCCACGCGCGCCTCGACGCGCTCGCGCACCCGCGCGGCGCGCCCGACGCCGCGCTCGCGCGCTCGGACGCCGCGCGGGCCGACGGCGGCGCGCGCGCGCTGCTGGCCGAGCTGGAGGCCACGTTCGGCTGGCTGGACGCGCCGCCGCTGCGCGCGCCCGCCGCCGAGCCGGCGCTGGGCTGCGCCGAGGGCCGCGCGCGCGCGCTGCGTGCGGCGCTGGCCGTGCGCGCCGCGCTGCGGGCCGAGCGCGACCAGCCGCCCGCGCGCCTGCGCCTCGCCGCCGTACGCGAGCGGCTGCGGCGCCTGGCCCGCCTGCGCGACCAGGTGACCGCTACGCTCGTTCGTCGTGGACGAGTTTCGTTATTGAGATTCCGCCCGCACCCGCAGCGGTCGCACTATCGTTGCGACTCACGTGGTATCATGTCGCCGACTAAAATTAATAATACAGAACCCGAACGCGATCTTCGGATTAGCACTTTCTGTAGTGCTGTAATTAGCATTTTTTATTTTATAGAAAATTCATAGATCACCGTGTCGAAACGAATTAAATAATTAAACCACACACGAAGCTTTCGGAACGAACGTACCGACACTGACCATAAGCCGTTTGTGTCGCCGGTAGCTGGCGGCGGCGCTGGCTCGGCATCTGAACAACACGCTGATCCACCTGGGGAACGAGGCCAACCTGGCCGGCGAGGGCGCGCAGGACGGCCGCCCGCACCGTCACCACGCCGAGCTCCTTCCCTACGCGCCGTTCATGCGCTGGCTCAAACAAATGGACGAGAAGGCGTTCGAGGCCCTTGAGAAGGTAGGTACACGCACGGTTCCACCCGATCGATCCGCGTACGCGGACACGTGGACCGTTCGAGCGGACGGTGTACTGGCGCGTGTTGCAGGTGTACGCGGGCACGTGGGCGCGCGTGTACGAGCGCGAGCTGCGCGCGGCGTGCGAGCAGGCGCGAGCAGCGCTGCAGGCCGCGCCGCCCGAGCGAGCCGACCCGCTGCTGGACGCGGTGAGTGCCGCCCGTTCGAGAGTCGACGTCGTCTACGCGCTTATTATTATCGTAATTCTCCTTACAGGTGTTGACCACGGTGGAGGGCATCTGCAATACCGAGCAAGACTTCTGTGCGCAGTTCTTCTTCCTCGACGTAGACGTTAAGGTACTAGGATGTGGCAAATGACGTGTCCTCGAGCGGTGTTTAAAGAGTGACGTTGACGAGACCGATTGTTGTAGGCCGAAAGCGACGACGAGAAGAGCGAGCGCGGCGACGCGTGCGCGCGCGCCGGCGGAGACACGCGCCGCCTCATGGCCGAGCTGTTCCCGTCGCTCGAGCAGGAGCTGGTCGCGCTCGTCGGACACATCGAGCGGCACGATCCATAGTCTGTTATTAAAGTTATCGACGAATTCTTTTGACGACGTTTTCGAATCTCGTTCCCGCTCGGTCGGCGCGGTCGCTTCGCCTGAACATCTCATTAGAAGGAAAAGTACTACATATTTCGCTATTGCGAAGCTAATATTTCTAATTCTTTAAATAACAATTAATTATTATTGAAGATCATGTACATATATGTATATATTTGTATAAATTCACTATTTGTTACTGTACTCTTGTTAATTAATTTCATATTCTCTGTTAACTTTATAATGTGTTGCCTTTATACGTAGTGATGTAATTTTTTTAAATTAGTCTGTTGTTATTAGTGAAAGCCTGTGAGTGGCTTAGTATGACGTCTATATTGATTTTATTTAAGATATACTTGAATAGCCTTGGTTTTCCTTTAATAAATAAATAAATTCGAAATTTGGATTAGTGCTGTGGTCTAGTCTGCGATATCGCGAGCTCGTCAGCACACGTCTGACCTGGCCCTCGGCCATCGTTACGCAACGAACTAGATTTAGATGGTCGGCTCCGGAGGCCGGCGTACGTCAGGCGAAGGGCGCGAGTCGGCCGCGCGGGAACGTGCGTGGGACTTATATACGTGACGGGTGGCGGTCGGCAGCGGGGCGATGCGCGCGCTGGCGTGCGTGGGGCGGCGCGTGCTGGGCGCGGGGGAGGCGGCGGGCGCGGGGGAGGCGCGGTGGGCGCGCGCGGCGCTGGCGGCGGTGGCGGTGGCCGCCAAGCGCAGCGCCGACCGCGCCATCGCAGACCGCGTGGAGGCGCTGCCCGACGCCGTGAAGCAGGTGCGTGCTCGTGCGGGCGGTGTAGGACATGTGAGAGCACGCAGTACAGCGGCACGTTGTGCAGGCGGCGCGGCGACCCAAGTGCGGGCTGCTGTCGTTCCTGGCGGAGCTGGAGGCGCTGGGCGCGGCGTGCGAGCGCATCTTCGCGGCGGGCGGGCGGCGCGCGGACCTGGACCGCTGGTACGTGCTGCTGGGCGGCGCCATGCTGCGGGCCATCGCCGCCGCCGACCACCCGCGCACGCCGCGCGCCGTGCTGCAGATGGGTACGTCCCGCCTACAACTCTGCACCGGGACATGTGGCCCGTGCGACTATTTAAAATTTTAAAAACTGAACTTTAATAATGCCCATGCACATATACATATGAAATGAATTTACAATTGCCAAGTTACGGTACAATACTATTTATATCAGTATACACCGTGGCCGATAGTAGTCGAGTAGTAGTAGTCGAGTTCACTGGGCGTCCGTCGCAGAGAACTTCCACCGGCTGCACGGCGTGCTGTCGGCGCTGCGCGCGGCGCCGCTGGAGGCGCTGCGGCGGGAGTGCCGCGCGCGGTACGCGGACGCGCTGCGGGCGTACGTCACGCAGTACTTCGGGCGGCCGCTCGACAAGCTGGCGCAGTTCTTCGAGGGCGTGGCCGAGGCGGTGGCGGGCGGCGTGCGCGAGGACGAGGTGTGCTACCGCGCCGCCTACAGCAAGCACGAGCTGCGCCGCCTGCTCGGACTCTACCCCGCGCACGAGGGTGAGTGTTGTGGTGGCGGTGGTGGTGGTGGCGGTGGTGGCGGGCGCGAGGACGAGGTGTGCTACCGCGCCGCCTACAGCGAGCACGAGCTGCGCCGCCTGCTCGGACTCTACCCCGCGCACGAGGGTGAGTGTTGTGGTGGTGGTGGTGGTGGTGGTGGTGGCGGTGGTGGCGGGCTCGAGGACGAGGTGTGCTACCGCGCCGCCTACAGCAAGCACGAGCTGCGCCGCCTGCTCGGACTCTACCCCGCGCACGAGGGTGAGTGTTGTGTTGGTGGTGGTGGTGGTGGTGGTGGCGGTGGTGGCGGGCTCGAGGACGAGGTGTGCTACCGCGCCGCCTACAGCAAGCACGAGCTGCGCCGCCTGCTCGGACTCTACCCCGCGCACGAGGGTGAGTGTTGTGGTGGTGGTGGTGGTGGTGGTGGTGGCGGTGGTGGCGGGCTCGAGGACGAGGTGTGCTACCGCGCCGCCTACAGCAAGCACGAGCTGCGCCGCCTGCTCGGACTCTACCCCGCGCACGAGGGTGAGTGTTGTGGTGGTGGTGGTGGTGGTGGTGGTGGCGGTGGTGGCGGGCTCGAGGACGAGGTGTGCTACCGCGCCGCCTACAGCAAGCACGAGCTGCGCCGCCTGCTCGGACTCTACCCCGCGCACGAGGGTGAGTGTTGTGGTGGTGGTGATGAGGTCATTGTACCACGCCCCTAGTGCCGATCGACGACTAAACTGTCGTCATCCGTAGGCAACACATACTCGCCCTTCGAACCGGTTCACGTCTTATAAAGCGAGCCGATCGGCGGCTTATTACTTAATAATGATTTTTGTGAAGGGTTATAGTGTTATCGAATGACGTTGGGGTGTGTGTGCGTATGTGCGGCGCCAGTCCGCAAGTCGCTACACCGCCTGTACCGCACGGTTGAGAAGCACCTGAGCGAGGAGGGCGGGCTGCTGCAGGTGGTGTGGCGCGCCATGCAGGAGGAGTTCATCGCGCAGCACCTCGCGCTGCAGGTACTCCTCACCACACCACACCGCTCACACTCACTCCATACCATGTCCGACATCATACTTACAAGACTCCATAAGAATAGTTTCTGAAGGCTAAAGTATTATAATATTCTCGTATACTGTAATTCACCACGTGCAACATTGTTCTTTCTGGCGGTTAAAATGTTATGTTCTCTCTATAAAAAAATTGACGTTCATAAGCGGCTAAAATGTCTTACATGAATGAATGATTTTTGAATTTGAATTCCCTGCTATACAATGTCACATTTCTATACTTACACCAGTATCTACTCTATGGTCAGTGTCCTTTTCTGATGGCTGAGCTATTATATTCTTATACATATATTGTAATTTTACTCCTATGTAATGTGATCTTTAAAACGGAAGTTTGTAAAGCTGTGTTATGTATTAGAGCAGAGCTTAGATGTGCTGTCGTAGAACGTAATAGATGATTAATATATTATTTTACTTTTTTATTACTTGGAACTGCTCCTGTACACGAGCGCTACTAACGGAAATAACGACAAAAATTATCGCTTTATATCTAGTCTATTCAAATATTTGCTTGCATATAAACTGAACTATTACAAAAAAGAATTAGTGATATAGTAGCCACTCTTATATTACGCGTTTATATATATTAATTAATTATTGTTATATACATATTATGGACGCCAGATATGGGCGTAAGGATCTCAGGGTTTGTATGGTGTCAGTTAGAGGCCTTCTTGTGGAAAGCTGTTTTATTTGGTAAAATACACAAAATTTTATGCTGACCAACTTGTGTGTGTCTTAACTAATTGCAAGGAATATACTACATATCCTATTGGTACAGTTGACATATTTATAAAATAGCAAGCGGGCTGTTCCTACAGTGGTGACATTGATTGTAGTGATTGCCACAATTTCTAGTTTTTTTAAAGGATGTTAATGGAATGGTGCACTCGCCAGCGTTAACAGTTTACGTTGGCGGAGCACCGGTGGAGGATAAGAAACATGTGGTCAGATAAGGTAGCTCATCCCGACCTATTTACCAGGAATTCATCATGATAGTTTCTAGGGAGACATGGTACATTGGTTATAATAGCTCCCCCTGCATGCTTAGTTGGTGTCAGTAACATCAATTCAAGTGGGGAAGGGGACTGTTAGTAATGTGGACTAATTTACTCATTGCTAGCAATGTCATGTTGGCCTCCACACGATTCCCCTTGAAAACCATCTTGTTAAATTCCTTGCGAATTTGTAACGATGGGCTAATTGACCTAATCTCATGCTCATGTAATATATGTATAAGTATTGCATGCTACAGGTAATATATAAGTATCGACATGTGTGTTTGTGTGTACAGGCTCGTATCGCGGCGTGTTACCCGGGTGCGGGGCTCACGATGCCGCTCACTACGCAGGACATACTCGACGCGTTCTCTGACATCGCGCGGGAGCACTAGCACTGCTCCAAACTATTCCCGGATTCAATCGCGAGAACAAAAAAGGAAGCAACATCAAGCCAGTATCTTAATAACGGAAATGAAATGGTGACAACTCTACATATAAATGAGTATAAATATAATTGTATATTATTGTATTAATAATATTAATCTTTATTTATATTACAAATACTATTACTATAAATGTTTTATTTTACGTACCAACCATTTCTACAAGTTATAATTTGACAGAAGTATAAATAATTTTTATTCAAATTAATAAATAAATAATATCAGAACAATTCACGCAGCGCCAACTAGACCCAAATTAAGCTAGCTAAAGCTTGTGCTATGGGTACTAGAGACACTGATACAAATACTTAACAATACAAATGTTTGTCGTGCGATGAATTGATCCCGCGACCATCGGAAGTAAGGCGGTATGCTATACCGCTAGACCACCAAAGCCGCCAAATTACCGCTCTTTTAAAATCATATTTTTATTATTCCACTACTCATTCGGAACACGGACTTCATCACAAGAAGAATGAGCAGGAGACTTTAGACGCGTATCTCTTTAAAATAAATGTAGTTCGGAATTACAAACAAGTCTTTACAAGCAGCACCCGTTCACGAATATGACGGGTAAGACAGCTCACATCACTGCACTCGATCATATTTTATGGAGCCCAATAACCTACCATACCACGCCGCCGCGGCCGTCTGCCTGGACATTTAAGTGAACATGGCTGACTTATGGCATAACTTATACTTTCTTTGTGTTACTTTCAATTTTGTTGGACAAAGTGTAAAATTATATTGTTTACATAGAGTGCTCTGTCTGGTGTAAATCAAAGATTACTTCAAAATAATTAATGAACATCAAAATCAGCTGGTAAAACTAATTGGATTAAAATGAAATTTACCAAATAATAGTGTAATTATTTATTGATTTATTTACTAAATACAAGTTATATATAATTTGAGCCACATAGTTCAGTGTTTGTGACAATGATGCAGCCAGTCGACTGTTACAGTGATACTGCAGTTTGAGTCAGTTTTATAATTGTTGCACAACAACTGAACTATGTAAGCTCAATAATAGTCACAGCGATGTCCATTTAATCCAAGGACTTTGGTGGAGAGTAGTTCAGGTACACTAAACCGGAAGTTTTAGCCTGAAAACAAAAAAGAAATCTGCTTTAGACCAGTGGCTCACATCAAGAGTACACTTCAATGTTTGACATTTGTGAATAAATCATGTTATATAAATCGGTGGGATCTATCAATTAATAAGAAAGAGGTCATCAAAATTAAGTCATTTATACTTGCAGATTAGGATGTAAAGGTATACACAAAATATGTATTGATTGAGAACTTGCTTGTTTTTTAATTTTATGCCAATGTAAATTATTAATTTGTACTTTGAGTGTCACTCACGTCTGTATCTGTTGACTTTGTTGTTGGGTGCAATCAATTAATAATCAAATGAAAATTACTTTAAAACATGTGGCAGATATAATCAAAACTGATTTTATCATTACTAAATATTTATACCATATTAACATATCTGTTATATACAGTGTATTTGAATTGATTAAAAAAGACTTGAATTTCTATATTCTATAGTTAAAAAACACTATTTAACATGTTTTCCACTTGGGAGTCACATGTAAAGTTCGCTTATGGGGTTCAATACAAGGAACTTGTAAAAAATTGCTTAGTCTATTTCTGCACTGCATGAGTAGCATGTTTCAGGAGTCCATAGGCTATGGTAACTGTTTACCATCAGATGCTTGTATGCCATTATTGTGGTATACAAAAATGTTCACAACATACATGTGTTAGCACAGCAATTTCCTTCCTTTCCATCTACAACTACAACCAACATCTTCATCTCAGAATACAAATTGTCATTTATTTATAGGCTTTGTAATGATAGTAAAGTTTACATTGTTGTTTAATATTACATTACACTGCCTAGATTCTATAGTTTGTCCTAAGACATAGGCCTCCTCCACTAGACTGCATGTTCCTCTGTCCAATGCCTCCCTCCTCCATGTTGGTCCAGGCACTGCCCTTATGTCAATCTATTATCAAATGTATCTATTAGTAAAGTACAATTATTACCAGTATGATGGTTCCTGCAGCAAATGCTATTCCGAATAAGAGTGTAGCGTTGTACCGGCGCTGGTTGGCGTCGTACTTGGCCTGCCACGAGCCGCGTGGCACGGGCAGCTCGTCCATGGATGGAGTTTTGAACTCCCCATGATGGTAGCGGCGGACTGCAAGTACATACAAACAATAAATTAAAATTCAAAATATCTTTATTCATGTAGGTCTATCACAGACTCTTATGATATGTCAAATCTACCGTCAGTTCGGAATGATTTCAAGATGAGGACTGACAAGAAACTCAGCTGTTATTCATTTCAAATAAATGTTGTACATGTTTACAATAAAACAGATTAATTTTTTAATTCGAAATTGTGATAATAGAGTGACCATCAGCATTTGTTATTGCTAAGGCAAATAGTCTAGATAGACCAGATATAATGTAGCAGATCTGATGCAGATCCAATATAGCTTAAAGAAATTCCTTTGATACAATAAGTATCTAAACATAAGGTGATCTATAGTGATCTCATATTTATAGCACGCAAACTGCCTTACCATTTGCTATACACTAAAATTGTCAGTGTGTAGCAGTGCCTATTGAAGACAATAAATAGAAGGTTCATACTGATGGATAGAAATAAATAAACGATGTGATGTGAACAACTACTAATTTTATTTTTAATATATATTTATATTAAAAATTACGTTTATATATAGAACAACAAACAAAAATATAAAGCATAATTTGAGGTTATAATTTGCTATTATGTAATAAAATATGATTTTTGTAAATTGATTAAATCAATTCCTTTTACTATATTTACTATGTCATTATGTACCTCTATTTATGGTGTTTTCACGTAAAACTTAGTATTTTTTTTTATTGGAATAATAATTATAGTAGGCTGCATGAAAATCAATAAATAATAATTCTGTCGCCTGTTACATAATTATCAACTCACCCGTTTGTTGAAAGAGTCGTGAAAAAACAGGGCGTGACAGCATCTTGTTAAAATATTTTATGGGTTTTCAATAGATATGGTATTAGAGTTTTAAAGTTATTAAAAATGTTAAATTTATAACAAAATTCTTATAATACAATCGGCCGACATTAAATAATACATAACACAGAGTACTATGTGTCACAGTGTACTTGCTCGTACACTTGTGATGTCAAATTGAACTACTTGTCACATACGTCAATGCAGGATCTGTATGTGTTGGCTGCGTGACTGAATGTGACTCGTATCATTGTATTATTATGTCGACTAAGATTTTTATACATTAGTTAAAAATGCAACTCGATCGCAAATATGTTAATCAGAATATATTTGTTAACGAGTGTGGAGTTCGTTCTCATCTTATCATTTGTAGACTCGTTCTTTCTGATCTGTGGTAGTTTTTTGTGGTTCTATGTCAGCGTATACGACTGGCCCGGCGGAATGTAAAAGCATTTCATTATCATCCAATGGAATGATTCATCGTTATATGTATACGCTGGCGGGACTACGATAAAGGATGATAAAATTAGCATATAGTTAGGTCAATTCCCTTCATTGTGATGTGTATTCCTTAGGACTTAATAACCATGGTTTCCAGAATGAACGTCGTGGAGGTCGACCGGACACCGTACTTTGATAGTAATGGGGCCACTAGTCTCTATTGCCAAGGATAAGGGAATGTTACATACTATTACAACGCGCACGTAACACCCCTGGAGTTTCAGGCGTCCATAGGTTTATCATCATCATCATCATCGCAGCCCGGAAGACGTCCACTGCTAGACATAGGCCTCTTGACCAGATCGTCGCGTCGGTCCACCTTGCGTCTTCCCACGCTGCGTCTTCCGTCCATTGGTTACGGTAACCATTTACCATCAGGTGGGTCGTATTTCTGTTTGCCGTAGTAGATGTGTAAAAAAAAATTTTCGTTTTTGACTAGAACCAAATGATGTCAAACTTTTAACCAAATAATGCGAGAGACGGTGGTAAGCTCGCCCTTTTCGTCACGTTAGATTTAAATTTACTTTTAGCAATAGGTGTGTATGCATTATATATATATATATATGTATATAATTATATACCAATTATATTCATCAACATCGACAACGGGAGGATAGGTAGGTATAGATATGTATACAAGAAATTATTTAATTTGTATTCTATAATTTTGTGTAGTAAGTACTTAACATGTCAGCACGAAATAGTTAAAGTAAACCATCCTATCATCAACCTATCGAGCGTGCATGGCAATAGTTGTTCATGAACGGAATATACATTTAATGTTAGACATAGACACCTATATAAATACACATTGTAAATAAACTGAGTTTCTTGCCTGGACGCAAAGGAAAAATTATAATATAAAAAATTTAGACGTTCATAAGCGGCTAAAATGTCCTCCATGAATAAATGATATCTTTAATCAGACAATGATGAGCGTTTTAACCTGTTATCGCTCTACTTACGTAGGTACCTCTTAAGTAAATAATTTTATACTCTCAATAGATAATGCCACCTATTTTCTATAGATAAATACAAACTGATATGTTTCATATTAGAGTCTGTTGTTGGTTTTATGATCAAGATTGGAAGTAAATAATTAAGAAGTTAAGCGGTAGAGTCGGACAGAGCGCGAGTGGTACGTGCCGACGTCCGTGACTCGACAGTAATGCGAGGCGAGGTGCGCCTGCGCAACACACTACTCACGGCGTGAACACTGTGAGAGGAGGGACACAATCACAATGCCAACAAAAATACAAACTGAAAGCAGGGCCAGTCGCGGAGGGAGAGCGGCGCGCGGCGTCCGCTGCACCGCTCCACTCGTTACGCAATGCACACGCACGGCCACACGCGACACACCAGCGATCTGGCTCGGTTCTTTGTTTACTAGCTACATTTGTACGGAACATTGTGTCACATTATATTACTATGTAGCAGCTATGCGATAGTATATTATAATTTATACCTGCGATACGATCCAATAGTCTAGTCAGTGAGGTGCTCGCAGTTGGGTGCTGTTTCAATAAATTGATCTTGTAAATTCTTGTACTGATTCAAAAACATGGAGAAAGAAGCGGCCAAGATGCTGCAATCTGAGGCTTTGGAGGGGAATGGGAGTATAGAGAAGAATGGATTAACCGCCGAGGCAGGAAAGAGCTGCATGGAGCTTCTGGAAACGGAGGAGCAGCGCCGGGAGCGCTGGCGCAGCGTATACGTGATCTACTTCACCATGTTTCAGATGTCTCTCGGCTTCAGCATCGCGCTCACGGGAGTGTGGCCCTACCTCGACAAGGTGACAGCATTCAGTGTTTATTATTTGTTACAAACAAAGTAGAGACAGAATGGCAATACTATATATAATACATTATACACACAGGCATTGTAGTATCAATAACATTATATTAAGAAAAAGTCAATAGGCAATAATGAAATAGGCAATAAGATAATCAACTAGTATATTGCATCCACTCAACTAATATATTTATTCTAGATTTAACAACTATTATGATTTGAATTTACAACGAGAGTACGAACGAAAACGAGTATTATTTTTATACATATAGAAAAACATTGTACTTTTAACACAAACAACAAACAAAACAAACACAAAAATTGTAAAAAATGTTATTTTAATTGTTGTAGGTATGTATCGTATTTATATTCATATGCAGGTAGTAAAAAACGGTTATTTCAATATTACAAACGGACACTCCAATTTTATTTATATATTGTATAAATGTATAAATGACTTTCTAAGGTAAATTATAATAAAGAATTCTTGATAGAGATTGGCAGAAAACTTTATAATTGGGATAAAAAGCGACAGATCTTCAAATAATTAAGAGTGAAACAAAAGAGGACAGGTAATACGTCACGTCTAACTGATATTACTATCATATCATCAAGATTATGTTTATGGTAGCTAACCCTCCCTGAATACATTAAAAAAGACAAACAAAACGAATGGAGAACGGCGTTAAAAAAGAGACTAGACTGTATAAAAATATAGAAATGTACCAGCCTTGGAGTTGTGAGAGTAGAGCTCTCAGGGTCTCAGGATCTAATCTATATGATACTAAGAAATTAACTGAAATATTGCGCTAATATAAATCGCACTTTAATTTCAAACGAGACCTATCGCTGGCTCCTGCAGTTGGTGCCGGTGGTGTGTTGGTTGTGGCCTGCACAGTTCACCACACCTGGGTGAAACACACAGACATTTTCTTGTCCATATTATATCGTGATCAGAGGTATGCGTGCCTGCCATATTTACCTAAGAGCAGCAACAATTATATCTACAAATGAATATGCATTTTGTGTGATACTTATCACCTTGAAACGCTCCGTTGTACTGACTTTGTGATAAGATGTTTTTCTGATTGGTCATTTATCTGATTTTCACTACGTCGCTGCCAATTTGTTTACCCTAAATCTGTATTTGGCCGTTGATGTACAACCACCGACTACATAGTAGCGCGTCGTGATACACCAACAACTCATTTTGCAGTAAATTATTCATTTTGTGACTTTGTATGTACCCGACGGCCTCGGTGGTCTAGCGGTTTAGTACATCGCCGCGCCGTACCTCGAAGGTCGCGGGTTCGATTCCTCGCACGGCACAAACATTTGTATGTAGTATGATTGTTTGTATCGGTCTGGGTGTGTTCTATGTATAATATGTATGTATTTATAAAAAAAATATATCTATGTATGTGTTATCTAGTACCCAGAACACAAGCTTTAGCTAGCTTAACTTGGGTCTAGATGGCTCTGTGTGAATTGTCCTGAGATTATTGTTATTATTATGTTAGTACTCCACATATAAGTCACGGCTGTTTTTCTGTTTGTTTCAATGTTCTGTACTTATCTAGCGGGCAATTCAAATGTATTGCATGACAGATAAGGACACAGGATATTGCCGATTTCAAAAATTCTAAAAACAGTTATTGTTGTCAACGAGTAACGGTCTATAAAATGAAAATGTAGAGTCTGCTCGCTCTGTGATTTTCGCGCGTATTCTTTCTACATCTCTTAACTATACAGTTAATGATTTAGAAATGCATATAATTTATACAATTTACATAGGGTCACATTAGATTTCTTTAACAAAAAATATTCACTAGATTACTAGGTGTCTCCATCACCAACTACTCTTTTCGTTAACATCTCGGAGTTTCAAATGAAATCCAAATTTGCTTCACATATCGACTTTAACCTCAATTATTATGTACGCACCATTTTTGTTTTTGTAATCTTGTGGCTGTACAAATAAAGCATTATTATTGTTATTATTATTATTATATAGAGCTATAAAAATATGTAGACAAAGCCAACTAGAAGGATTCTGTTTAACTAAAAATATACATACATCACGGTCCTTGTTTATAGTGAAGAATTAGTAATCATTGCACTCGCATTTGATAATATTATCTGATTGTTAAATATTGAGTGCCTAGTTTCTATCTTTATATATATTTACTTAGAATAACATTTATTTAAAAGAGCAACACGCAAGTTTCTTGCTCATTCTTCTTGTGATGAGTCTATGTTCCGAATAAGTGGTAGAATAAAAAAATATGACTATTCAAAAGTACTTATATTAAGTTTATTTGAATAAAGATTATTACTATTTATTGTACTGACACGCCAGCGGAGCACGGTGGACCAGTTACTTATAGAATAGAATAGAATAGAAAATCATTTATTCAAATAAACTTATGTTAAGATGTTATGATTTCTTTCTTATAAACTTATGTTATGATTTCTTTCTTTCTTTTTTAAGCACTTTTGAATAGTCATCACAATTTTCTAATTCACCGCTCATTCGGAACGCTGTCTCATCACAAGAAGAAAGAGCAATAAACTTGTGTGTTGCTCTTTTAAATAATCCTTGTAAGTTCGCATTATACAATTCGAAACGTGTGAATACAAACTACCAACCAGCACTAAATTATTAGGGTTAAATGTAAGTACACAATAAGATTAAATGAGTCGTAGTGATAAGAGCAGATCAGTCCCTACAAGCAGCACTCGTTCGGAGTATGACGGATGAGCCAGCCATCACTTCGCTCGACCATATTTTAGGGAGCCCAATGACCCGGCCCACCACGCCGCGCCGCCACATGTCTGGACATTTTAGTGAGCATGTCTACTCATTCCACTCGACCACGTTACAGCTACTTAATTACTACAGGTATGGTAGTTATATAAACCTATCTTACAGAGCAGTACCATATGAGTCATGTTATCGTTAGTTTTTTTCTATCGTTTGTGTATGTAGGGCAAAGGTTAGATGACAGCGGACTGTGTACTGGACACCAGTGACTAGTGTGGTAATCATTCCATACATAGCTATTAGGCAATAGCGCTATGGATCAGTTTCGTAGCTAGATACTTTGTGGAATAAAGTAGGGTTGCCAAGCCCAAATTAAAAAAAAAATGTAAAAGTTAAAAATACCTGGACTATCCAGATTACAAACAGTACGCAGCGATAGTGTTGCAATAGTTATAATAATATGTAGTAAAATTCAAGTAATTAATATAAACAGGTATTTGATAAAATTATAATGTTGAAAATTAGTAATTAAGAGGCACGCATATTTTAAAAACCCAGGAGGCTGCCAAATAACTATTCAGGACAGCCCAAGACACTTCAGAAACTAGAGTTCGATTGGCAACTCTAGAATAAAGGAACTCTACTTCTTAATACTTATCAAGTGATCAATATAATAAATAGCCGCTTTGTTCAAGGGCCGCCAGTGTTCTGAGGACTTTGGTAGGTCATAATCCTATAACGTGGATCATCCGCTCGCGGCATGTTCTAACACTTCTAACCTTTGCATAAAGAACGGCCGAATTAATGACGTACTTGTACGTATACTATACGTACATACATATATATGTACATACATTACTATTTCACGACCAAAAACCAAAAACCAACCAAGTTTAAGGTTATTTAAGGTTTAATATATACCGAACTGGACGGTAGGAAAAAAAATGTAAAAACTTGACGTTCATAAGGGGTTAAAATGTCCTACATGAATAAATGATTTTTGAATTTGAATTTGAATGGTGCATTTTTTTTATTAGTTTATTATTAAAATGTTCATGTAATGTATATGTACTATAATATAATAATGTTAATGTTAATAGACAGGAAGTGACAGGACAATGTAGTGCAACAGACAAATTTCCTTGGTTTGGAGTGCCATCTGCACTCGCCCCCTATCGTCCGGTGAAGCTGTAAAGGCCAGCTGCGGCCAACAACATTAGAGTAGTCCGAAAAAATAACATCGTTAACCAAACAATGGTTAATAATTTAGGTTCTGTTGAAATTTCAGTTGGAGCCCGGTGCGAAGAAAGAAATGCTGGGATTGGTGGTCGGCGCCAATCCGCTGGGCCAGCTACTATTTTCCCCACTGTTGGGACTGTGGGCGAACCGAGCGAAGAGTGCGCGCATACCACTACTGGCCACACTAGCTCTGTTTGTGATCGCATCGGTGCTGTATTCACAGCTCCACCTCACCAGGCCCTACGCCAAGTACTGGATGGTTTTCGCGCGGTTCCTCGTCGGTGTCAGTTCAGGTATTTATCATAGTTTCGATGGACCGCTATAACAGCCCGAAAGACATACACTGCTAAACAAAGGCCGCCCCCAAAGATCTCCGCGACGATCGGTCCTACTCTGCTCGTATCCGACGCCAGCGAGGCAAAAATATTTGAATATTTTGATTCTTACATGTTGCTACTCTAACTTAACAATTATAACTAGATTTAGATAATTATTACAACTATGTATATAACCTACGTGACGTTAGATAAAGTCACGTTATCTATCGTAAACTGGCACATTATATTATTGTACGTGTTCTAACTATTATATCACAGATATTTAATATGATAATATTATTTATGAGCTCCCGATATAGCACGCAAGTCTCTTGCAACGGTGGATCCAGGGAGGGGGGGGGTCATGGGGGTCATGACCCCAGGACTTAGGTGGACCACTAATTGAACATAATGTTTTTATTTATACGTTTTGTCACCATACAGATTTTATATAACTACATACCTTCAATATTTAATGAATTATATTTAAATAGTGCTTCTCTGGATTTTTTCATGAGAAGATGGCAATATGTACGTTTATATGTACCAGTTATTATGTGTTAAGTTTTTCAGATCAGTTGAAGTGTACAATAAGGAATAAATATTTTTAAGTACAGTACTTACGTACATTAATGAAATACCTTCTTTTTACTTGTATCAAAATTAAATTATAAGTTCTTGACTTGACTATGACTATGTGACCCCCTCCTGGCGCCAAAGCTGGATCCGCCCTTGGTTTCTTGCCCATTCTTCGTATATGAGACAGCTTTCTGAATGAGCGGTAGATTAAAACAAAGTATTACTTTGTAAGTAGGTGCTTAAGTTTATGTTTATTTGAATGAAGGATTTTTTATTCTATTCTCTATTCATTCCGACGCTGTTACAACACACAAATTTGGTTGTTTCAAGTCGATTGGAGATAGATACGAGCAGACAAATCTGTGTAGCTTGAACCGTCCTCCCTGTTGAAGTTCATGTCTGTATAATATTATAATGGTATATAATATATAATAGTAATCATCTCGGTTATATATAAAGTACACAATCATAAACAACCGTTATAAAAGTTTAATATAGTGTGGGACACGATTGTAAGACGCGATTGCTGCGTCCTTCAAATGTTTGTGTTGTAGCGCCTTTTCTTAAATAATTAATTATCATATAATGACCGATAACTGACAGTTGATATGTAGCAAACACATCTTAAATGTGTCTTTGAAAAATAAAATCTACGGGCAATTACGCGCGAAAGATTGAACATAAAACTGTTGATCGCGCGCTGGCTTTCCCGCTCTATGAGGAGCGCGCGAAATTACGTCTCGTGAAGACACAGGGGCGGGTCGTGAACTTGTTGATTCTACTTAGGGTACTACTTAATTATAAAAATACTCAACTAAAAAAATACACCGACCAAAAACAAGCGACCAGAAATTCCCCGTTCCTTTCGATAGACGCGCACTTGCATGAGTGGGTTGATCTCAGGGTTGCCAACCTTATGATAAGTTTTTTAACATTCTAGATATTTTTTTATATTCTAAATATCGTTTCAGTGGGGACTGGAGGCCCTTTGTATCCTCGGGGCCCTGGGCTGCAGCCCTAAAAGCCCTTAGGTAGATCCGCCCCTGGAAAGACAGCTAATGTTTTTAAAAAATCTTTAGCAAATATAGTAGTGGCGCGGTCGTACCTGTCCGCGGCGACGCTGGTGAGCGAGCGGACGCGGGCGGTGGCGTGGGTGTCGCTGGCGCAGGTGCTGGGGTTCGCGGTGGGGCCGGCGCTGCAGGCGGCCGCCGCGCCGCTGGGGCCCGGCGCACCCTACCCTGCGGCGGGGGAGGGCGCCGGCCCGCTGCTGCGGCTCGACATGTACACCGCCGCAGGCTGGATCAACGCGATCCTCGGCCTCGTCAACTTCCTGCTGTTCCTGCCGTGGTGCTTCAAGGACAGGACCATCGCGGCCAGGGAGGCGATGATCGTGCACGGGAAAAATTCCGGTGAGTTCTCCCAATGAATATTAAGAGGAAAGAGATTTGTAACGCGGCGTCTCGCTTAATAATAAAACTAAATAATACTTAATAATAAAAAGGTGTAGTTAGGTAAGTATTGGACATACGAGTATATAGTCATGAGGAACTTTTACATAGTTAATTAAAACAAATTAACATAAACTTATATAATGCGAGTCGGCAACAACTCAAGGTTACTATAACATTTATTTCCTGTAATGAGTTTTCAACAAGTCACAATTTTCATGTACACATACATAATATAAGTAAAGACATGTACGATTTACAACTTGCTTTATATTTATCACTAGCTTTTGCCCGCGACTTTGCTCGCGTTAATTTATCCCCTTGTGGGTGGAATTTATCATAATCCTTTCTTAAGGAATGCCAACGTCACAGTAGCTATAGATAGCATGCAAAGTCTCAGCCCGATCGGTTTAAAATTGACAAAGTTTCATACAAACTTTCAATCCCTATTTTATCCCCTTGGGGGTAGAATTAATCAAAATCCTTTCTTAGCGGATGCTACGTCATAACATCTACCTGCATGCCAAATTTCAGCACGATCCGTCCAGTGGTTTGGGCTGTGCGTTGATAGATCACTATGTCAGTCAGTCAGTCACGTTTGAGTTATATATATATTTAGATATAAATACCTTATATATTTTTAAATACGCTATGAACATTATTAAGCTTTTGTGTTATTATATATAACTAGCTGACTCGGGAAATTTGAAAAAATATAAATATAAATTGAAGTGCTAATATCATTATTAAAAAATAGGAGAAGATGGTAGACAGGCGAAAAATTAGGGTCGTATGTATTTTTATTGATTAATCATAAAAATATTAAGTTCTAAAAATAAAACTAAAAATTTTGGGGTACCCATCATCATTTAAGAGTATGAAACACAGTTACCATACTCTTAGACCTACTGAGTATATACACAAAATTTTATAAGTGTATTTTTGTTTCAAACACTGTGACATGAGATTTTATATATTACATTTTGATATACCATAATATGTGACCGTTCTCTTCTGAAAGTTTTTTCTCCCGGGCTTAAAACTTCAAGTTTATATTTCCAGCTGTTAGTTCATCCAGTAACACCACCTCCGTCAATAGGTGAAAAGTCAGACTATTTGTCATTATGACGCATTGACTGAATAACGATTTTTTAGTCATTATAAAACCCATAAACTTGGAATTTCGTTTAGAACCTTGCGTTGACGTTATAATGACGTATTCGTTATTATGAAAGGAATAAGTTTATTATTATCCTCAAATTTACCACCAGTTTCCATGAGAATTTGAGTTTCTAATGCAACTAACATTAGTTCTCCCTTGTACATAAACAAATGGTGTAGTGTGTAGGTACAACACGTAGGTATTGGGGGATAGGGTACTGTTAGTAATGTGGACTGAAGATCTCATCACATCATTGCGCGATGTCCTATGTCAGGTTGATCTCCACCTAGAAACCATCTATACAAATTCCTGGTGAATTTGTCGGTAAATCTTTACATCTATACGTATAAATAAAATTGGAGTGTCTGTTTGTCATAATGAACACTGATTAGACTATTTGCTTTAGAAATATCATATGCTGGGGGTCACACTATTCTGCCAAATTTAAATTTAAAATTCTGTATTGTTGTAAACATGTACAACATTTATTTGAAAAGAATACGAGCTGAGTTTCTTGTCAGTTCTTCTCATCTCGAAATCATTCCGAACTGTCGGTAGATTTGACATATAATAAGAGTCTGTAATAGACCTACATGAATTTGATTTTTGAATGACCTGACCTCATGCTCATCCTATCAACCTAGACTAGTGCTCCGCCAGCGTAAACCGTTAGCGCAGGCGGGTGCACCATTCCATTATCATCAATAAAATACACGTAGGTACCTCTAATGTATTATACATATATACGTTGCCTACGGTGGAACGTTCAAAGTGCAAAGTCATTTAAATAATCACAAAGCATGTCTGACGTTAATACAATCAAGCGATGGTTAATTATTGTCAAGTTTATTAATAGTTAATTACCAAGAATTTATTTTGCAACAGGCAGGTACCTACATCTTGTTTTATATAATTCCATCTGATTATTTGTCCTGTCCTAATAAAGTAGGAACACCAACATGTGAATTATAAGATCTTAGTTTACCTTCACAGAATATCCAGTCACACAAATCAATATGTAAATAAGATAAAAACAGCATTATCTGCAGTGTTCTGTATCCATATCTTCAATGCGAGTGGAATATTTAAAAGACATCGAAATACGTTCAGATAAAATATTAAATATCATATAAATCAATATGTACAATTATGATTTTCCAAAAACTTTTATTACTATGTTATATATTATTTAATTTATTATTTTGAATACTTAAAATTGTAATTGTGACATAATTATCTTAAAAATGTAATTACTATGGACATGCTGTTGTGTAACGAGATTTGTTACATTTGTGAATAAAGTAATATGAAATATGAAATATCATTACATAGTATAAAACAAAGTCGCTGTCGTTGTCTGTCCGGCCCTATGTATTTTTTATTGGGTTGTTTTGACTATTGTCAGATGTTTGTAGCACCTGTAGCACTGCGATCTACAGATCTATTGTGCTCGCCCTTTTTCATAGTTCGCTACCTAGACCCGTCAGGGACAAGAATTGAACGATATTCGTCCCTATGTATGCTTAAATCTTTAAAAATACGCAACGGATTTTGAAGCGTTTTTTTTTTATAGATAGAGTGATTCAAGAGGAAGATTTATATGTATAATACATGTACACACATGCGAAGCCAGGGCGAGTGGCTAGTAATTAATGAAAGTATTACGTACGTCGGCAAAGGGGCTCCTTAAATCCATACCCGGGACACAAGTCGCGGGAACTGCACGGAGTTTCCCTCTCAGCCACACGATGGACCCGCCACCCGCACCGTGAATACGTCTCATCATTAATGTACATTGTCCCACTGCTGGGCAATAAAAATATTATCATCTTTAAGACCTCTTTGAGGTGAAGGTTTAAATACACACTAGTATAATATTTTAGCTTTTTAAAAAAAGTAATTCAATTGAGTTTCTTGCCAGTTCTTCTCAATTGGATCTATATACCGAACTGGACAGTAGGGAAAAAATTATAATACGAAAAATTTTATGTTCATAAGCGGCTAAAATGCCCTACTTGAAGTTATTTATATATACTCTTGAAAAATATGACATTGAAATTTAAAACAAAGTACGCGATTACCTATATTAAATTTATATTGTATAAAGTATTGTTAAAACGTAAATATGCCGTATTGAAGTAATTCAAACCGTCTCATATTTATTATCAACAGAGAAAGAAGCCCTGAAGGCCATTAAGCCGGACCTGGTGAGCAGCTGGACACTGGTGGGCGCGTTCTTCGTGTTGGTGTTCAACTTCGTGCTGCTGGAGACGCTCGCTACCAGCCTCACCATGGACCAGTTCGCGTGGAGTAAGAAGCAGGCCCTCGAGTACATGGGCGCGCTCATGAGCGCCGGCGCTATCGTCGCCTGCGTCACGTTTGCACTCATCGGGCCGCTCACCAAACGTTTTGAAGAGAGGTATTACTGCTGATACATCTTTTATGTTACACTATTATATCTCATAACTTTTCAATTTAATAACATGTATTGCCTCTCCTTAAATCCTTGATGTAAAATCTTTAATTTTCCCTAAAAATATCATATTCACTGGGCTAAAAGTTCCCACAGTAATGGAATGGTGCACCCGCCTGCGCTGACGGTTTACGCTGGCGGAGCACCAGTGGAGAATGATAATATGATCATGAGGTCAGGTCAGTTAGCCGATCGTAACAAGTTCACTAAAAAAATATCACGATGGTTTCCAGGGAGGACCGCGTGGTTTCCAACCTGACATGGTACATTGCTAGCAATAAGATCATCAGTCCACATTACTAACAATTCGCTTTCTCCACACTAAAAATATGTTTGAAGCTCAGTTATTCTTGGTTGCATGAAGCGAGAGATCAGATATGATAGAAAGAATAAGGGAAAGTCTCTACCTCGTAGTGGACCGGTACAGGCAAGATGACAAGCGGGTGGAGTCAACCTAGTTTGGTACATTGCTAGCGATGGAGTAATTAGTTCACATTGCTATTAGCAATTTTCTTTTCCCTCAAACTATGTACTATGTGTACAAAATGGTGTAAAATCTGTGAGCTTCGTTGGAAGCGGTAATATTTGCAATAATGTGTGAGGTTTGATGATGTGACGTGGTGATTATCAGGGGGCTGCTGTTGTGGGGCGGGTTCCTGCTGACGGGGCTGGCGTCGGTGCTGTGCATCCCGTGGGGCCCGGGCCCGCCGCCGCTGGCGCCGCCCGGCCAGCTGGAGGCGGGCGGCGGCTGCCCCGCGGCCACGCAGCCCTGGTGCGAGACCTCGCGGGGGCTCACCATCACGCAGTTCTTCCTCGGCTACGCGTGCATCTCTGTCGGATATTCGCTCGGCGTTACCTTGATACAGACCATCTTCTCCAAGGTTTTGGGGCCACGGCCACAGGTGAATACTACGAGTCACGAATTTTATATATTATATATATATAGGATTAGAGGAAGTTGTAGGTTGTAGTGATTTCTAAAATATAATTACTTTATATTTACTGTAACTGTTAAAGCGGTTCCCTAGGGATATGTATCCCGAGAGATATATTCCTTCGATAAGACTGTCGTCACAGATCACGGGCAAAGTAAGGAGTTACGAGCGTACCTGGCTTTCTGCTATGGCGTCTTGGTGCAGGAATCGATGATCGACGACGATGATGATCGATGAACTGATCACACACACAACACGCGCGGCGGAAATTAGTGTATATACACCTTGAATATTGCACACTATCTATATACACCTTGACAATTCAATAGTTTATTAAATCGTAGTGATTCAATTATTATAAAACGTAATTATGTGCGAGCGGCGTTTCTCAGACACGAGCGGGAAACGAAGAAGAAGCGCCATCTTTCTTTCCAGCGATGGCGCGGGCGTACTCGGCTCCTTTCGGCCCTAGATCGTGAGTATGTCTGTCCTTGTCTATTACACGAGATGTGCATTTAAACTAGTTGTGGCGCAAACATTCCCCCGGCCTTAAAGGGTTGCCTTTAAAAAAAATATACATATATATACCACTGGGAAATGAATAGCAGTATGCGGAAGATATATATAAATAAAATGAGCGGTATATTAATGCGTATAAGATTAATCATAAGCGGGAAGTTATCTGAGGTTATGTGAATACGATATATGAATGAAAGTTATATATAACTAAGCTAAATCTAAATTTTACTTATATTAAATATATAACTATTGATGCGGCAATGGGCACAAACGAACTACCGGGCGAAGGTAGCTACCCTTTGAAGTCCTAACAGTGACCACTCGCGTAGTTCCGTCTTTGGAAGGATGTACCTTTTCAACGACAGCTAATGGCCATGAAAAGGGCGGTGCGTTATCTATTACTAAAATTACAACAGTACCCTCCTTAATGGGAACTGATGGAAGATTCCATTTAGCGCGTGTCTGCAATTGATGCAGATACTCCATTCGCCACCGGCGCCAGAAAGACTGTACAATGCTATCCAGAAGGGAATGGCGTTGATTTAAATCGTGCGTGTTGGCTTCTGGCGCAGGAATGGATGAAAGAGGGACAGTATTTAAAAAATGAGCCGGCGTAAGAGCAGACGGCTCAGCGGGGTCACTACTTCTAGCTGTGAGTGGACGCGAATTAATAAGTGCCTCAACCTGAGAAAGCACTGTTATAAGTTCCTCATAAGAGAGAATTTGTGATCCTATCACCTTAAATAAATTATTTTTAACTATTTTTACGATGCTTTCCCAACTTCCACCGAAGTGGGGAGCAGCGGGAGGAATGAATTTCATACTAATGCGATTTTCTGAAAGTTCTAATTCTAAATGCGGGCGATATTCATCAAGAAACTTATATAAATCGCGAAGATACTTGCGAGCACCCACGAAACATGTTCCATTGTCCGTATATAAACAGTTTATCGGGCCTCGGCGAGATAAGAATCGTTTAAGTGCGGATAAGAAACTAACCGTGCTTAAATCAGTAGCAACTTCAATATGAGTAGCACGGGTTGTCAGACAAGTGAAAATACATAGCCATGCTTTGCGGCCTTTAACCCCCCGACCACGAATAGGTGTGTACTGTAAAGGACCGGCATAGTCACAGCCTACATGCGTAAATGCCTTATCAACTTGAGTGACGCGGTGGCTCGGTAGATCGGCCATGAGTGGAAACGTATGGCGCGGTTTTATTTTAAAACAAGCGTTACATTTATGAATGCGATAACGTATTAAGCGGCGAGCGGACAGGATCCAGTACTTCTGCCTGAGTAAGGACATAAGTAACTCTGGTCCTGCATGAAGATGCTTCTTATGATAAAAGTCGATAAGAATATCGATAACATGATCGCGGCGCGGTAAAAGTAGAGGATACTTAGTGCAGTAATCCTCAGCGGAACTTGACAAGCGACCACCGACGCGGATGACATCGTCCTTGTCTATAAATGGTCGGAGCTTGTTTAAAGCGGAAGAACAATATTTATTATTTTTTAAATTATTAAACTCATGTGCAAAATATACTTCTTGCACGGCGCGGATTAACTTTATTTTAGCAAATCTAAGTCTTCACTCGTAATAACGGTATTAAGAGGAAGGCGTTTAATAAATTTATATATATAAACAATAGTCCGTAATAATTTAGAATATACAGAAAGCGTTGAGATAGCGCGTAAAGTAGTGATTCAGAGGTATTTGAAATTAATGTGTGTATAACAGTCCGTTGTTCGGGAATGTCTTCATTCGATAAGTCGTGATTAACAGCAAGTGGCCACTCGGCCGGGTTACTTAATACCCATGAAGGTCCGGTGTACCATAGCGGATGGTTTACTAGCTTGTCTGGTGTGAGTCCACGAGACAGGCAGTCTGCAGGATTATCGGAACCAGCAACGTGATAGAAACAGTCTGCCGGGACGTTATCGATAATTTGTACTACCCGATTGGCAACGAAAGTTTGCCAGCGGTGCGGAGAAGAGTGGATCCAACAAAGAGCCACTTTTGAATCACTAAAGGCGTATATATTATTCACAGGATACCGTGGTGCGATAGTATCAACAACCTTACGAAGTAGTTTTGCGAGTAATACGGCTGCGCACAATTCTAATCTCGCGATGGATACAATTTTTACAGGCGAGACCTTTGACTTGGCGCATAATAATTGAACAAAATATTTATTATCAACCTGAATGTGTAGGTAGACTACACCGCCATAAGCACGTTCACTAGCGTCAGCAAATCCTAAAATATTCAATTGACAATCCTCAACCACACCTAAGTGTCGCGGTATGCGAAGCCTATTAAGCGAGGGCAGTTCTATACAGAACTGTCTCCAGGCTGCGATGATATGATGCGGGGGTTGAGCATCCCAATCACATTTCAACAACCAGAGTTCCTTAATAAGGAGCTTGGCGTACAAAATAGCGGGAGCCACGAAACCTAAAATGTCCCATAAACGGGCAACAGCGGAGAGAATAGCGCGCTTAGTACATATAGCGTCTGGCGTGATTACCTTGAACTTAAAAGAATCATTAGAGTTATCCCAAAATAGACCTAAGATCTTGTGCGGGGTGGAATTATCGAATGATTTGTCACTGAGGGTTTTGTGTGTATCCGGGATGTGAGCAAGCACGTCGCGGGAGCTGCTCGTCCACTTTACGAGATCAAACTGTGCCATTTTAAAAAGTGCAATAAGTTCGTTGCTAATGGTAATAGCCTGTTCATCTGTCATAACAGAAGATACGATATCATCCATATATAGTGCAGACGAAGCAACAGCGGCAGCAGCAGGGAATTTATCCCCTTCATCTTCAACTAGTTGTTGAACAACGCGGAGCGCGAGAAATGGACTCGACCTCAGTCCGAAGCATACACGATTAAATTCATATTCAGTCACAGGATCATCGGTGCTGAAGCGGTACAAAATTCGCTGAAACCTACGATCGGGTTCGCGTACAACTATTTGATGAAACATTTGAAAACAGTCGGCGGAAATACAAACTTTAAAAAGACGAAAGTTAATTAAAATACTAAATAAATCACCCTGTAGGTTGGTACCACTATGCAATATATCATTTAACGAACGACCAGATGTCGTTTTACAACTGGCATCTAAAACCACGCGCAATTTAGTGGTGACCTTATCCTCTCGTAGCACTCCGTGATGTGGAATGTAGTACGAGTACGAGGGTATAAGTGAATTGTCTTGATGCGATTTAACTGGACTTAAATAGCCCTTATCAATATATGCGCGAATTAAAAGTGGGTACGGAACCCATGATTACAAACCCTAATACGGTTTGTATCGCAGGCGGAATATTACGATGCTTGCTATGCACAATACCCGGCAATAGCAAGTGCGGGAATATAGAACTACCTATAAGTACGTCTATATTACTAGGAATGGCAAACTCGCCGTCTGCCAGCGGTAGGTTTTTAATGTGTGAAAATGCGGCGGTATTGACAGGAACGGAAGGCAAACTGTCCGTAATACGGTCAACAACAAGCGCGGAAATATTAAAGTGAACATTAAAATTAAAACGAGAAAATATATTAAATTCTACTGAACCCTTAACGTTTTTTTTGTGAGCCACCAATACCCTTTACCATCGTAGATGAATATTTTAATTCATTTAATAAACCTAAGCGGTCACAACATTCATCAGTAATAAAATTACTTTGGGACGCACTGTCCAATAAACATCGAACTAAGTGTTGTTTACCTAATGCGTCATACACAATAACGCGTGCAGTTGCTAGTAGCACAGTTTTGTTACTGAGCGCGCAAAGTGACAGACCACTCTGCTTGGCCACGGCCTCGCCACTGTGTGACGGGAGCGGGGGTGAGGCCATGCTACTACGGGGCGCGGGCGCATCGCGCGCGGGGCAGCGAGCCCCGATCCGTAACAAAATGTAGCAAAGAATGATGGCGCTTTTGACATGCACGACACGAAGATTTTGATCTACAAACACCTGACTTATGCTTGGTACTTAAACAATTTACGCATGAATTGTTAGCTTTAATATGTTTATAACGATCGAGAGGTGACAATTTTTCGAATGCACTACATTTATAAAAATGATCATGCATATTACTATTACAAAGTGAACATTTTATAGGTGTTACACTTGAAACATAAGACTGCGGGTCCGGGTACTTAGCAGGCGGGCGGTATTTATTAGTAGGCGGGCGGTATTTATTTGACTCTGTACTGGTGGCGGGCGCGGGTTGTGTATTTTCATATATGCGGCATTGTGTTTTTATAAAATTAATAAATCCGTCAAAATCACGTGATTTTGTTATAGAAGAGTGTAATTCGAACGCGCGTAATGTTTCTGAATCGAATTTACGTTTTGCAATATATAATAAAATGAAATCAGATAATTGTTTTATACCTAAGCCCTTTAATGACATAGCGGCGGTGACA